TGCTATTTAAGGAGCTGGCGAACAAAACGGTACAATTACGCATATGGTATTGATCATATAATACTTTATTTTTACAGCCCGGAGGTTATGGGCCAGCTGAATTTGAATTTCAACTCATGTCAATCCAAACCGCCTAAAATAGTTTTAAAATTACTAAATTAAAAATCACGCCAAAAGCTCACAGTAGGTATGTCATTCAGTTTTTTACTGCTCCTGAAACAAATAATTTGATATTATTATACCGTTTTGTTCGCCAGCTCCTCATTTATCATTTTTACAGCAGGGGGCCATTCGCCTAACGGAAATGCTTAGAAAAACGCTTACGATTTCATTTTGTTATTTATGACCGCCGCCGAAGGTTTTCAAATTCCTCACGCTCATTTACTTTAATATTATTATTACCAATGCAAAAGAAAAAAAAGGCATTTGAAAACCTCAGGCGGCTAGAAATAACAAAATGAAATTGTAAGCGTTAGCGTTTTTCATAGCATTTCCATTAGGCGAATGGCCCTCAGGTTACCCTTATCAAGTCTTTAAGGGAGAGACTGTTGTCCAAGTTTGCAAATAACAAATACGAATAGCCATGTGAAGTGCCGGCATCAAAAGCTAATCTTATGTTTTTGGTATCTTCAAATTTAAAGAAAATCGCCAGTAAGAAATACACCTGGCTCAAACAATAAAACTCGAAAACGAAATAGCTTTATCACTATCTGCTGACGGCAATCAACCCTTTTTGGCTCGCTTTTTGGAAGCATTAATTTCTCACGAAGGCCACTAAAACATGGTTCTAACTCATACACAATACAACTATACTTCAATAAGCGACACGCAGACAGGCATAACCAAAAAATGACAAATCAAATATCTGCAAATGTATTCGGCTATCCAATCATTGGGTAAGTCTGTATAATTTCTAATTCGTTGCGCTTAATAATAAAATCCTAATATTTTTTGGTATCCTCTTAATTTTGCTTCATTATACATACCTTATTAAAAACATAACAACAACATATCACATTCCGATCCATGAATTCCATGATACATTACTAAAAGTAGGTAAAATAGAATACCTATGACGAGATGTATTTTGATAAAATTTATTATATTCAAAATAATTCCAAAATATTATAGCGCACATTTTGATAAACAATATTTTATTTTATACATTGGTTAATTCAAATATAAAAATAAAAGTCAACTATCGAAATTTAACCAATATTATTTGCTAAAATACATAATTATTAAATACACTTTTTTTACATTATTGCACCGATATTTTTGTGTCTATAATTATTTTTGTGTCTACAATTTATACAATGACTACTTACTTATCATTAATATTTAAGATTATTAGGAAACTACGGGACACGTTTTCGTATACTTAATTAAGAAAAAATACATACATAAGTATTATCCATTTCTTTTTATGATTCAGTATTTGAATACTTAATCTGGATGTGTTTTATTATCTAGTAATCTAATGTAATACTAAATTACATTATTCATACAGCATTGCATTGTATGACACTAACTAGTCAAAACGTAGACATAAACACAAACAGATCTACCGTAATTTTATTATATCGTACAATAAACAGTATAGCATTATAATATCATATATGAGGTTTCGAGCCTCAAGGACAATTCGCAGTAATTCTATTTATTTCCTATCTTTATTTACCTCGCGTCTTTTTATTAATTAATTTATGATTGAAGACAAATAATGTCACCGGTAGATGAAGATTTAGTCATATTAATAACACATTAGGACTTTCACAGAACCCATTTTCTAATCCAATCCAATCAATTAAAAGACCTCAATGGGTATGGAAAGATCGACAATAAAGACACATACTTTAATAGTAATACTCACGGATCATTTATAAAATTATAGGAAGCGCGCTTGTGAAAGTTGTTAATTCGTAAAAATGCTACTTAACAAAATAATTGTAAAAATACTTTCAAATGACATAAAACACTCTGAATTATATTCATGGCATACATTATGTACTCATTTTAAAGATTTCCCTTTGCATTAAGGTGGAAAAATTAAGGTAAAAATAATTACCTTATAGTCTAATAAGTTTAAAGTATGTAGCTTAGTTTTATTTTAAAATAATGCTTAAAATGTATTTTACAGTACAAACACAAGAAAAAGAAATTGCAGACAATTATAATTAACAGGAGTCATTATAGTTTATTCAGAGGTCAAGTTCACAAAAAACGCTCAATATCCTCACACTTACTATGAGCTTTAATAATCTTAATATAGGGTTCACAATCTATTACCATAAGATTTGACAGTTGGTACCACTGTATAGATAAAGGAAAAATAAAATATAACAACCAATACTGAAAAAATAAATGAGTGTAACTCGCGCCTGTGAAAAAAGTGTCATAAATGTATATAGACCGAATATTTAATAAAAATCCCCTTTTGAAATGACTTCGTATTACTAAACTTTTTATCTTACAACTTTACTTCGTTACGTCCTGATCCCGAATCTTAATATGAATCTGTTTTACAAAATGGCGCTACCACTCTTCCATCCTTCTTCGTCAAGCATTCGTCTCGCTCGCACACACGTTACGTTCCGATTTCCACATGTATTTCACATAGATAAATAGTTAATTATACTGTAAAAATAGCACGTTCAAAAACTAAATTTACTGGATTACAACTGTGCTTGCATGCTTTACGTAAGCCTGAAATGTTTTAAAAAGTATAAAAGAAACAATATGAGAGTAGTTATGAATATCATACTACATTGTTCTAATAATAAGAAACATCTTACTTACGTATTAATTTTTATATATACTTTTAGCAGTTGAGGTATACAAAATTAATTATGAATATATATTTTCGCCAAGAGGCGAGCAAAATGCGTTCTATGAGGGCAAAGACAACCGTTCCATTTTCATTTAAATGCAAATTGGTATATATTTATAGTAGGTATTTAACGACAGTTTTTTTTTAAATTGCTAATTATGAAATATTTTGCATCACATAAACCGCGGTAACTAATTCATACATCAACGTCGTGAGTTTTTTTTCGTTTTCGTATCACATATTTTATTGAATAAGAAAGATTATTGTAGATGAAATTCTTTAGTCATGTGTTAATTCATTTAAGCAATATAAATAATTAGTATACAGAGTTAAGTTTTTAAAACCGCATTTTAAACCTATAAAAATAATATTATAAATATGAAGTCATTCAAATAAAATATTAATAATAGTCAAATTATAGTAATTGATATTTTTGTTTCATAACATTAATTGGCACATCATAAAAAATGTGATGTGATAATAAAATTTAACAGTCAATTTCCATAAAAAAAAACAATAATAAATAAGCATTTCGGAGCTTAATTGATTATGTCTTTTTTACTATTGAGCTTAATATAATAAAATCTAAAAAGCGAAGCTAAAATAAGATAACCTTTTCCTACTGATCGATTATTGAAATTGGCCGATTATAAATATACTGTTTACATTAAGAGCCAGTATAACGTACCTCTAGCACTCACCAATATTGAATTCGAATAGTAGAATTCGATCTCGATGCGCGTCAAATGTCAAGAAGTTTTGTAATCGGCATAGTCGGGCGGTAAAATCAAATATGTGTGGATGAATGTTCTTGCAGTAATTACTATGGCTCGGCTTTGTTGTTCGACAAATACCGCCGAGCCGACTATGCCGATCCGATTATGTGTGTAGCTACTGACATTTGACGTGTCTAGATGGAATCCAACTATTTGAATTCAATATTGATTGGTGCTAAATAGTATGTTGAATTCACGCTCCACCAATCGCTGAACAAATTACGGTGCATATCCGTACTTCCTACTTATAATTATAATTGTGAAAGTTTGTATGTTTGTCACTCAATCAGGCAAAAACGACGGAACGAATTTGGATGGACAAACATATAGTTTATTAAAATTTCGTTCCTGCGGAATTCTCAAAAAACTAAAGTAAACCCAGATGAAGTCGTGTGCGGCCTCCAGTTATAATCTCACTGCTTAATGCCGGCACTTCTCTTGGCTATTTGTGTTTGCTATTTGTAAACATGACATCAGTCTGTCCTTTTCATTCCTTGTGGCGTATGAAAAGGACAGACCGAATGTCTAGTTTACGAATAGCAAACAAAAATAGCCAGGTAAAGTGACAGTCATAAGCTTGAAGTTATTTGGCATGAAAGTTTCCACCCAACAGTCGAGACTTTTCACATACATATTTTGTTTTTTAATAATTAACTCCCAAGTAAATTATAGAAAGACTGCAGAGTTCTTGTGGGATTCCATGTGTCTTTGAACACCAGGACTTTAAGATCTAACTTATCAGTGGGGTTTTCTAAGAAGACAAGTTGATTCTTTTTATATTTTTTAAAGTAAAAATATTTACATTTGTATTAATAACCATCATGAATTTGCCCATATCGCAAAAGTTGTATTCTCTAAACGGAGTAGAAGTTATTGCAAGAATAAACGGAAGTAACAAAAACCAAGGAAGAGTAAGCAGAGAAGTTAGAGAATAAACAAAGCATAAGACTAGAAAGAAAGAGTGACAAATTGATTGATGATAAAGTCTTACAAAAATAATATTCAAATCGGTAAGGATGATAGAGCGTTTAAGTTACAGTACTAGGCCATTTATAAGTCGCATCGTGCTTAAGAGAGAGATACTCGGTTAGCTTCGGCTACCTTCGGTACATATATGTTGTCTGTTACCTACATGTTTTCTTTTTATATAGATTTCTAAAAAACTTAAAAAAAGTTTTAGGAGCTCTTGATAGATACCGGACTGTTAGTGTTTCGTGTGACAGAGATGACTCTCTACCTTTGTAGATAGTGATTGACTTTTGACTTTTTTTAAGTTTTTTAGAAATCTATATAAAAAGAAAACATGTAGGTAACAGACAACATATATGTACAATGTATGTTAATTTATTTATTTTAATGAAAAAGTATAATTATTATTTCCCACCAAATAATAAAATACAAAAAAGTAATAGATATGCGAAGCCTCTCATAAAATAATTACTGCCATCATCGGACTTAATTTTTTTTCTTTCTTTCACGAAATATTTATATTTATATCTGTTTTAGCAACTCTGTATATATATTTTAAGAAGAACGCGACTGTTCTTTAGCGACGTTGAACTACGATTGACAAGTCAGCGACTAAAGGTCAGGTTGACAAGAGTGACAGAGACGGCGCTATACGAAGCCGAAGCTAACCGAGTATCTCTTTCTAAAGCTCGATGCGACTTATAAATGGCAGGGTACTGTACATCACTATGTAGATTTAACAAAAGCAACGTTAACAAAATACTAATTAGTACAATTGGCTACCATTCAACCTTTAAAATTTTCACGCTAATACCATGGACCTATATTTTAATCTTAAAATAGCCTGTAAGGGCGTAATATTATGTAAGTACTGTACAATATCGAGCTCATAGGATTCGCCGTCCTGCTCTAACTTACTGCAGGCACTGTTTAGGCGAAAAGGACAAATAGCTCGATAGTTTCTTTAATATCGCTTAGTGCTTAGGACTAAGATCCACTTGCAGTTCTCCTAAATCTTCATTTAATTAACTACCTAGATTTAGCCCATAGAATAATGTCAAAACGTCAGTAAATCAGCTTAAACTAGTTTAAGTTAAATTGAGATTAGCAAAATTTCAGCAAGTAAACCTAGTCCAGCGTGGTGTTTTAATAATAACAATTTGCTATATTTGTATATTATCTAAGTCAATTTTTATGTATGGGCAAAGGGTGAGCCTCAGAATTAATCACGTATTTGTTTAAGTCTATAATGAATCTGTCGTCGCTGAACAAAAGGTACAGATACTTGAGCGTTTCTGAAAGGAAGAAAGTTTCCATCATGTCTCTTTGTAGCGGCTTCTCAGATTTTACGTTGTTGAGTGAAGTGTAACCGTTGGGCACTTTGGCGTGTTTCTCAATACTCTGTAAGAAAAATAAAAAAAGATATCAGGCGTAGTAGACATTTTTATTTATTTATATATATATATATATATATATATATATATATATATATATATATATATATATATATAATGGTGTCGACTATGGCATTATTCTCTAAATTTAACCGCAGTCTCTCCTTTTCTTTCTGTATACGCACGAACCAAAATCGAATTCGAATAGTTTGCGAGTGCGAAATGTCTTTGTAAAATATGTACTGATTTTTAGTTCTCGGTACGTCCGTTTTAGCGCTACTGTTCAGGTTTTCCATACATTTTACAATGACATTTCGGACTTGCAAACTATTCGAATTCGATAATTTTTCGTGCTAAGGGTACTGTATAGAGAATGACAAGGATCACTGTTGTCAAATTTAAGTTTAGGTTTAGAGTACAATGATAGAATCGACACCAATATATTATTTCTATTCGAGGGAACGAAAGTTTAAAAATACAAAATTTGGAAATCCAAAAGTAAAAGCACGCCTCACATTCACGAAACAGAAACCCAGTAAATACATCCCATTGAATTTCATTAATATCTTTAAAACGGTTATCAGTTCAATCATGATAAGAAATAGGGCTCATCCTCAGTATAAGTGGAAATTAATTCAAAAGGATTTATTACAATTAATTGCGTATATTTTTCTAAAACGTGCAGACAAACAAGTGCACAGACCAACGGACAGCAGTACTAATAATTTTTAACTAAATTTTTAACTATATACTTCAAAAAATAAATGAAAAGATACGCTGACTTTATCATTTAATATGTCTAGTTTACAAAACATCCCTATTTTTATTGATTTAGTGTCTAACTTGGGAGATAACAGCGATTTCATATTGTAAAATCGTCACATAGCGGCCTATCGAGAGTAAAGCACTCCCACACGCTTACGCGTTGTGAGGCGTGGAATAAGCAATAAACTGCAATTAATTATTAATGAAATATAACCTACCTACCGACCTAAGTCGTTTTCTGAATTCGCTAGTAAATTTTCGCAGGTTACTCAATTTTGGAAGTTTATTTTGTATAAATATATCAATATTAAGACACGATTTCTATGTTAGTTTAGCAGAATCAACACTGTACAATAGTTTGCCAACTCACCTGGTATATTTGCCAGCCCCAATCCTGGAAGGTAGTGTTGCCAGTAAGCTGATACATATACCATAGACTCTCCACAAACTCTGGCCGCAGCAAACTATGTGCGTCCGCTGTCTTTGTGTACATATCATCTGTGGTACTGGCCTGTATGATATAAATAAATAAATATAAATATTTCCAACACTCACACAAATTAGATTAGCCCCAAAGTAAGCACTGTAGGCTTGTGTTATGGGATACTAGGCAAACGGATAGAATACATATAAGTATATTTATATAGAAATACATATTAAACATCCATGACTGGAGTACAAATGCTCGTATTCATCACACAAACATCTGCCCCCCGCGGGATTTGAACCCGGGACCTCTCGAGTCAGCGACACCATGAAACCCGGTGTACAAACCACTCGGCCACGGAGGTCGTCGAATCCGGTTCGAATCGATTATTGATCCAGTTACAAAGAATATCATTTTTTGTGCATCCTGAAAACCTGTTATTAGCAATGCTATACGAAAATCAGCCACATGTAAGAGAATTGGGATTGAGGCAATTAATCGCAGCAAGAAAAAATCAAACTTGGGCTAAAAATATTTAAAGTTGATAAACTTTGAGGCCAATGACTACACTGATATGATTTTATGGAGTGAGTCACAAGTTACATCACCTCCAGAGCTAAAAGATATTAGTGACAACGAACTGGAAGACGTGGTTGCATCAAACTACAATATTACATTGGAGTTGTCGGATTATCCTTGTCAGACACAAGCAGTAGAGCAATGTGTCAAGATGATCTCTGAAGCATCGTATAGTGTAGAGGGAGTCAGTCGTGCGTAAAGAAGTTTCACTTCAAAAAAACAATAGTTTTACAAGATGCACAAAATCTTCACAAAAATATCCATAGATGTATAAGAATAGAGAACAGGATACAGACTCTACTACAAGTGGAAGTTTCCCTTTAATAGAAAGAGAAAGAAGATGAGAGACCGCTAGCTTTCTCTCTCTAATCGCGCAATGGCAACCGTAAGCATGCGTCACAAGAGAGAGAGAGAGAGATAGCTAGCGGTCTCTCATCTTCTTTCTCTTTCTACTAGACGGACACTTTTAGAGCCGCCTTCCCCACTCTATTCTTATACTTCTATGAAAATATCACTTACCAGATTGAAATGCGTTATTTCCGGCGCTAGAAAGCTAGGATGCGCAGCGTATGTCAAATAACAAGTGTACAGTAATTCTTCAGCCATAGTCATGTGCCAATCTGGCAAACCGTTTGCGTGGCCCAAAGCCAAGGTTCCTGGTAAGAAGCAAGTCAGATGGTCCATTTTGGGGTTGAATGACTGGAAAAAACACGAAATTATATATAATTACTAGCTGTCCCAGCGAACTTCGTACCGCCTTAAAAAAATAGGGGTTGGTGGTAGAAGGGTGAAAATTTAGGGTTGTATGTATTTTTGTATGATGTATCATAAAAAAATAATAACATAAAATTTTGTTCAAAAAAAAATTTAGGGTGTACCACCCTTAACATTTTAATAAAACTTATTTAATGTGAGACAAAACATCAGATTTTTTAATAAAATTAATTTACTAAGCTTGAGAAAGAACACAACCGATTTTTAATAGTATTTCTTTATTAAGACTGTGTGAAAAAAAACATAAATCAGAATCTAGCTCTTCAATTTCGCTCATCTCTGCATTACCGCCGGAGAAGTTATGAATGATCATGGAGGTCACATACGAACATGCATCCTATATGTAAACGAAAGTTTTAAATCGAGTTTTGGAACGCAACATAAAGTGACATTTGGTTGACGATTTAGGTTATCAACCATTCATAGCCAAAGCTCAATAAATGAAAAAAAAACAACTAATATTAAGTATCAACATTTGTTATTGTTTGTTTAAAAATGTTTGGTATTTATTCTAGAATCAGCCGAGTGCTACAAAAGTGTTCCGAGATTTTTTGCAAACCGTACTTTTCAAGCGACATTTGACAGATGGAGGTCATTGGCTTTCCTATTCTTATTTGAATCGCATTATATGTTAGATATTACACGAGTAACACTTAAAATGATACGAGGGGAATCTTGCATTTAAGATTTAAGTTTACAAATCACTGAATAATTAGATTGCCCATATAGCTTCAAATCTCTTTTTAGCTTGTTCATTTTCACAACAATAAAATGATGATTTTTAGGATAAAAAATATACTATCCTTTCCTTTTCCGAGGCACAAACTACCTTTATTCTTATCTTTACTTAAATTGATTTAGCGGTATAAGCGTGCAAAAGTTAACAGATAGACAGACAGACGGACCATCTTTTGCATTTATGTATAATATTTATATGGCTGTTTAGCAACCACAATCTATTGTACACTCTTTCTTCTCTATCATAAGTACAAGTTTTATGTGTCGTTTGTTGTGTGCAATAAAGAATATACTTAATCATTTGTTTCTTAGGTTTTCACGCACATCACTCATTAAGTAAATCAAGTTTCAACGGGTTCGATGAACTGATTTTATTTATTTATTGACGTTTCGCAGCTCTTGCAGGAATGCGTCGTCGGTTTTTTTTTTATTTACTTTGTCGAGCTACCTTCGAAAGAATTTTATTGAGTGTTCGGATATTTCAAGTATAAAAGATGATGCATCTAACCCGTTGAAACTTTTTTTTATTTTATAATAATTATTAGTATGGATAATAGATGAGTGTATGTTATATGAAACTGACCTCTGAGCCAGCCGATAATTCCCCAATAAACAGGTATTTATTGGGGGACGAGCGTTTTGCTAAAAACTCCCGCACTCCTTCTATCGCCGTCATATAATCATCCAGAAAACTGTGAACAATAGGTTGTTTGACAAGTTTTAGATAATTGTTGTGCAATTCAGTAAAAAAAAACAATCTTCATGTTGTCGCGAAAACATTTCTCTAGAGCTAGACAATATGGCCTCTCACTAGTATGTGACGTCACACGGCTGGCATTAAATCGTCAAACGATACAATGTTATGTCACTTTGGCCGGAAGTTCACTAGCCTGCGACGTCATTTTAGTCTTGGTCAATCCCAGGCGTTTTCGGTTACGTGACCATGGAGCAAAATGATCATTTCCGTTTAATTTTGGTTTTATAGAAAAAATATTAATCAGAATAGTAAATCGCTGCTAATATTCATATTAAATACAGATGCCAACAATTGGTACATAATTTTTCATACTGTCAAATCGCTTATTTATTATGTTATGTATACACAGTAATCACTTTTTTATGATGAAATTAGGTATCTATACCCCGGCTAACATCTAGAGCATAAGGGCCTACGCTGTCTTTGAGTAAAATAGAGATGGGACACCCGCCTCACGCAGCCCAGCTTTATAAAATAACATGAAACAAACAGGTGTGCTCCCGCTTAACGCAGCGCACGCACTTAAATAATTATAGACAACGCCCAAGGCTACGCAGTAGCAATTTTACACAACGTCTATCGCGTAACTTTGTCTGTAATGATTTTACACAAAAAGTTTGCCCCACCTTTATTAGTGACACGCTTTCGCTTCGCTTCGGGGTAGAAGTTATACAACAAAAAAACAACTTTTCCAGTAAAGCTCTTATCTAATAGGGTATTTGACAAGTTTTAGAAATCGATCTCACGTTATTGACTAATGTTTATGGAGTCCGTAAAAAGGATTTTCATCATTCTGGTGTATATTTCAGTAAAAGTAATCAAATCAAAAACTCCATTTTCAAGTTGCCGCGAAAATGTGTCTCCGGACAATATGGCGTCTTACTAGTGTGTGACGTCACACGACTGTTATTTAAACGATAAACGATAGGTACAATGTAAGTCACTTTAACCGGAATTTTACTTGCGTGTGACGTCATCTTAGGCTCCGCCAATCCCAAGCCTTTTGGGTCATGTGACAATAGATAAGAAAACTATTATCTTTTTTGGGGGTTTGTAGTAAAATTATGTTTTTTTTTTTGTAAAAATAGTAAAAACCCCTGCCAATATTCATTCTAAACACAGATGCTACCAATTGGCTCTTTATTTTTAATAGTGTCAAATACGCTATTGATAGTGAATCTGGTGGCGCATTAAAATCCATTGGGTAGTTTAGGAAAAGTAAATTAAATTGTACCTAATACGAATCTATTTTAACCAAGTTTGTTTAGATTATATTTGCCAGACCAAAAAAACATAAAACCTCGCTATATAGCAAAATACAAACTGAAATAATATAACGTTTTACGTGATAAATTAAAAAGCTATAAGGTCGCAGCCAAGCAATAAACTATAAGATAATGTATCCCACTTCAAAAGGCTTAGCTATTCAATTAACAGAATGTACTTTAATATTTCTAATAGCACTAATATTAAAAATGTGAAAGTTTGTATGTTTCTTACTCAATCACGCAACGCACTACTGAACGGATTTGGATGAAATTTAGTACGCAGATAGTTTATAACCTGGATTTAGACATAGGATACTATTTATCCCGAAAACATGTCAGGTTCCTGTGGGAATACAAAAAAACAAAGTCGCGGTCGGCTGCTAGTATATTCATAAAAGTTTAAATTTCTAATTGTAGTAATAGTATTACGCTGGGCATAATTTTATGCCTAAGTTTCATTGCCACTGCAACCAAATTAAGCGCAAGCCGAGCGTGCGGAGCGAGCATTTATAACTATAAATATGTACACATGAGTGCAATATGTATACCTAATAATCTAAATGGTTCAAAAATATTGTTCAGCTAAGTCTACTTCGCATTTCTAGGCATTCAACTAATTACATAATATATTTAAATCGCATAGCAATATGAATAATTCCAAATAACACAACCGAAATTTAGATTACAGGAAATGGCTATTACCTATATAACACAGGAGAATAGGAGTGACGACGGTGTAAAGTAAACGAAATTCTATTTAGTCCGTCAGTTAGATGATCAAAAAATAATGGACATGTATTTTTTCTTTGGGCAATCAACTAAAAATGGCAAAGATAAAGCGCGTCAAAGTTTGGGAGTAGGGGCTCGTGACGTCACTTTGAAGTGAAAATTGTACCAAAACGTGACGTCATGCGACTTTTCAAACCAATATATCTCTGCAATGTTTGTATTATGTGAAAAAAGAAAAAAAATACGTGTTCAATACTTTTTGATAATCTACCTGATAAACGAAGAAAAAAAAGTCGTCATCCCTATTACAATGATTCGATTTACAGCAAAACTATGCTGCAAACTACACTATATACATATGAGGGCATGACATTAGATTATAAGTACTTGCATAAGGAAAAGAGATCTTAATACTAAGCAATAAAAGTGGTTTCACAAAGTTTTGAAAATGCGCTGTGTGATGGTAGATTTTTTCTATCAGCTCAGCAAAGTTAGCAGTTACCAAATCATATGTTCTTACTTCACTCACACACCAGCATATAATTATATTGTACTTGAATTTGGTGTATACCAAATATTGATCATGTATAATAATATCATGTGACTTGAAATAAAATAGGATAGAAGATCTTTTAGAAGGAAAAATTCTTCATTGTTTTAGACAATCACAAATAAGAACGCAAAGTAAAATTGTATAAACAGGTGTCCAAACATAACACTAATAGCATTTAAAATTAAGGTGTAATGAACGGTATGTTGCTTTAAAGACTGCTACTTATACGACATTAATATTTATTTCAAATTATTTCTAAAAACTCAAAAAATATCGTAATGTCGGCAAGTTTTTCAGTACTGTTTCTGAGGACCGTTAATAAAAATATACTACTTATCAGCTTGAGAGTACCGATTACTGTAAGGACAAAGTAAAAATTCTAAGAGAGCATTTTTGAGGTACATAGTAGGTACTTCACTATTAACTAATCTGTCAGCATCATTGTATGGTAAGGACAATATAGAAAATTCTAAGAGAGCATTTTTTGAGGTACATAGAAGGTACTTCACTATTAACTAATCTGTAAGCGTCATTGTATGGTAAGGACAATATAAAAAATCTAAGAGAGCATTTTTTGAGGTACATAGTAGGTACTTTACTATTACCTAATCTGTCAGTACCCATTATATGGTAAGGACAATAGAGAAAATTCTAAAAGAACAGGTGTACATTTATTAGCATTTCTTGAGGAGCATTTATAGTCCACTACTTACTTACTCAGATAGCGCATATTATACGGCTTATACAAAGTAAATAATCTAAAAGAGCAGATCTAATAGGGATCTTTCATAAAAGGAGGTTTTCAACTTACTAATTCACGGTCTTGCCAGTTTGCAGCCATTGTTTCAGCAAGTATTCATAGTAGCTATCACCTCTTGCGCCCAGAGTAATAGTAGCGTGTGGTAGAAAGTGTCCAGTGTTCGGGTTAATGAATATGGGCACGAGACCATGCTTCTTGGGTAACTGGTGAATCTTTTCCGAAACGGTCGTTGCAGCATCCTGGTACGAAATAGGAAAAATATAGCGCAGTCAGAAATAATAATAATAAACCATTTATTTTCTCCTCACAAAAGGTGTATAAATACAATAAGTAACTAGCTTATTCATACAAATACATAAACCTATTATGTGGGAGACTGGTGCCCGTAAAAGGCAACTACGAATAGCTACCTTTACTAACAGGTCACCAGGCCCGAGACTATCATGCATTAACCATACGTGTATTGCATATCTTAATGGAAAATTGAATACCTACTCAAAATTTGAATGTCAATTAAATACAATGATTGTTTGTGTCCAACTAGATTTTGTAGTCTTATTTATATTGAAACGAAAGTGACAGCATACAATAATAATAATTAGTTGGCACTTATGCGGCTGTAAGACTTTATTAGTCAAAGGACTTTAGATAAGAAAAAGGACCTTAAAGAGCAATCAGTTAGTTTTTCGATAGTCCTACAGTAAGCTAAGTTATTTGGTATAAAAAAATACTAAGTATCATAAATCCAGTTATTCCTAAAATCCTATTCCAGTAAGGTACAACAATATCTGTGTCTGTCATCCAGAAGAAATAACATGGATAAATATTTTTTTATATAAATCAATAGGAATTAAAACCTTCCCTGATAAATACGCATTTATATAACGAAAACCCTATCCAAATCGGATAAATACTTCACTCAGGTCAATCTGAGAACATCCTCTTTTTTGAAGTCTTAAAAACATTAAGTTTCACAATTTTAATATTATAATAATGCAAAGACCATGTACTGTTGACCATGTGCACAACTTCATACCCAATAACTTCAGAAAGATAATATTTCAAATATTGTAATTACACAATTATATAGGTGACCCGATAATAAACAAATTTTTATTACACCACACCTCAAATGCTGGATTGCCCGAAGCTCTCGATAGTTCTCTGAATTCCAGTTGCACAGTGGTGACTTCTGCCGTAGTACTGTAATGGGACCATTCTGGAGCGTGTGCAGTTCTAGTACCCAAATTTACATCCGAATACGGAATGCCAGATGGTGATGAAAATCCAGCCATCAGGCGTTCACCTAGATCTTTCTGTAATAAAGTATATAAAACAACATATCTTAATCGAGCTATATTATTATCTAGAGGCATGAATCATTTGAGTCATTATTAGTTTTGAAGCTGGCCATTAATAAATTATTATCAACCAGTTTCAATAATCAACCTTCAGTAAAAAGTGAGGATAATCTGTTTCCGTTTCTTAATAACAAAGCTAAATTATAATTGCTACTATTAAACGGGACCAGATAATCCTTATCTTTTTCTAGATGTTGATTATGAAATCACCCCGAAAACAAACTATAATTATAGCATTGAGGCCGAAGCACAACAAATGACTTCTATGGAATAATGTGCAAAATAGTTACTCCTCTCATGAAGAGAGTTTGCGTCAGCCACAATAACATCTTGAAGGCTGTATTTTAAGGCAGTACTTTTAAAATTTAATAATCTAATATGTGATTGTAACTATTTTTAATTTATAACTTTATTAATAAAATTTTATTTTGAAAATTTTTGTTGGCATTTGTAATTCTGTATTTATTTCAATCCATTATGTAGTTTAAATTATTTTGTGACTGTTTAGGTGTGTATGATAATTATTATTATTGTTGTAATTTCATTTTATTTAAGGTATAAGAGAACATAAAAAATATATACTTGCCGCTTTGTCAAGGAACATCTCATCTTGTGTAAAGTGATAATTACTCAGTAAAGCACCAAGGACTCTAATGGTGACCTCGAAAAAATTCACATCTTTATTCTTAGTGAATACCAGGTTATCTTTAATCCATTGTCTACCTTCTTCAAATTCTAAAACAAAAACATAAGTATATTTATTTCTCTGTAGTAAACATACACCACATTCTACTAATAAAACTGTAAACAGGCTGCTCGTGACTTTGTCTGCCTTCAATTCTTTGAGAATCATACAGGAACCTAAAATTTTTCAGGATTAAAGTATCCTATGTCTCAATTCAGGTCATAAACTATATGCATACCAAATTTCATTCAAATCCATTAAGTAGTCTTTCTGTGAAAGAATAACAATCATCCATACATCCATACAAACTTTTGCATTTATAAATATTAGTAGGAAGTAGGATAGGATACTCACCTTCAGTCAATCCCATAATGTATGCAGTATCTAAACCATCAACTATGGTCAGTCCAAGGGAGAACCAATCAAATGCCATCCCTGATACAGGTTTCACATTATCATGCCCCCATGCGTGTTCCTTGTAGCCTCTCCAGGCATGTTTAAAACTTTGGACAACAGCATACTGTCTTGCATTGCCTGGCCCTGAAAATAATAATTGTCAGGAAGTTTTTAATATTTTATCATCACTGTCAGCCTATTAATGTCCCCACTGCTAGAGCACAAGCCTTATCTATGGATGGAATAGGAAGAAGTTGTATTTTAATTTTAAAGTTTTCTTAGTTCTTAATGTGCAGGTCCATTATTAGCCATCTGTTACTTATTTACTGCCACTATGTATGTTTTATAAGCATACACAGTTGACAGTAAATAAGTCATCCAAACGCAAAATTAATTAATTAGTACATTTATATTTTATTATATCGGAATATACATCAGCCCCCCTCGGTTTTATCACTCTCCATTGTCAAATTACTATGGAGTTTGACAGTGAGATGATAAAAACGTGATATAATGTTAAATGTGGTGGCAACAGGACTGGGGGTCAATCGACTAACGGAATTGCCGAAGGATTTTAAATACCTTACGCTTATTTTCTTTAATATTGTTGTTACCAATACAAAAGAAAAAAAAGAGCTTAGGGCATTTGAAAATCTTCGGCGGTCAGAAATAACACAATGAAATCGTAAGCGATAGCGATAGCCATAGCAATCCCGTTAGGCGAAAGGCCCCCTGGTAGGGAATAATTTAAAAAAATATAGAAACAACAATTCATATTTTTTATACACAATTAAACAATTGTCTTTTTTATAAAGCTATGTTTACCAAGCTGGCATATACATGAACAGTCAGTATTTTCACGGTCTAGTAATAACTATTGTGTCTTTACTATACCTGTGAACGCAGGCCTCTCATTGAATTCATTCTCAATAACAGCCTTTACAGGTTTTGCTGCAACGGCTTCTGACTCATTGACTAGAGACACATTTTTTACAGGTTCCTGTAAAGCAATGTATTAGAGTACATCAAATAATGAAATATATACAGTTTGTAGTATTTTGCCTTTATCTTTTTCCTGAATGAAACACATACCATTACAACTAGGAGCAATAAAAATATGATAGCAGAAAAATACCACATGACCACCATTTTAGATAAGGCAAATTCACAGTTGGTTACTTGACACCACACAGGAAATAATGAAATCCATCGGCTACCAAAGCAGAGCTACTTATATTATATTAAAATTTGTTATCTTACAATTTATTAATGTTGTCATTAGTTGATGGGTTTTAATACATTTGGTAGTAAATGTTGATTACCTTTCATTGTTAATTGTGCTCATTAACAATGGAAGGCAGGCCCATAGAAAGATTTGAAATAAATGTATACTTACTTGAACTAATTTTCTATTTTCATCCTTATTTATATCTGTACTTAGTTTTGAAGAGTACAACAATATTAATACAGTAATGGCTATTAATAAAAAAGCATAAACTAACGACCTTTGTAGCCGTGACAGACGATTCCATTTCTGAAAGCAAAGATGTTTGTTCAAATTAACAATTTCAGAAAATTTGAAATTGTAATACGGATGATGATGGGGTAAAAGAAATTCTATTTTGTATGTCAGTTAGATTATCGAAAAATAATGGATATTATTGTTTGTTGACCAACCAAAAGATTACATGGATAATAAGTGCCAAAGGTTGGAAGCGGGGACTTGTGAAGTCACTTCTAAGTAAAAATTGGAGCAAGACGTGATGACCTCATGAGACATAAATCAAATCATTCAATCAATCATCAAATTTGAGATGTTCGTATTGATTTGATTTGAAAAAAAATGTGTCCAATACTTTTTGATAATGTACCTGAAATACAAAGAAACATCAAAAAGTTTAAAATTATTCAATTACAAGATCATTCTCACCCTAATAATATTCTTATGAGATATTGTTTGTTGGTGTTCTGTAATGAATATTGAAGTATCCATTTTTGGATTCCACTTATTACTTCCACTTTGTCTTTCATGCTGATGGAAACCAATCTGTGACTGTGCATCAGAGTTAATCATTTTGTTTCTTTTTTATTATATCATTTTTTCTGAAAAGGAATATTTTTTGTTTACTTTGAACAGGATACAGATTTAGTTTTGATCATATAATGTAGAAAATCGTGTCAGTGTTTATAACAATTAATACTACAAGATTATGGAATGGACAAAAAATATATACAATATCATTATATTAATATATTTTTAAGAACAGTGTTATACCAATAGCATCGCAGCAATACAATAGATAAAACTATAGTAATTCATATTGAAGTTTCAACATAGGAAAACTTGTAACAATGTTAATAATTTATATCAAATCTACAGGGTAAGAAATACTAATAATATGTCAGCTGATTTTTGATTGAATGAAATTGATTAGATAATTACATTCAAGTTATAATTAGTACAGTTACTGAAATATTATTTTGTATCTATCATGTGTTGATAATTAAAAGATGTTACACTAAATCTTAATTTTGTTTAACTATAAATACCCAAAATATTATTTATTATGTATGAAATAAAGAATTTGCAAGTTTTGAATTAAATTGTATATTTCAAACAGATGATACAACACAACTATCTTTGGGAAGCGAATGGTGTCTATTATTCAACATAAGGACATGCACCTTACAATGCAATATTTGGGCATTTAATAAAGGTACATTAATTTTCAGCAATGCGGAAATAATAAATACCGAGCGTGAAAAGCCGATCGAAAAAATTGAGAATTATAGAGGTTTACCAACTGCGCAACTAGTACTTCGTCAAAGATAAATAAAGGCAAATAACTATAAGTCTTAACATAAAACTGATTAATTAAATTTGGTGTATTTTGGGTACGATGTTCCACGTCTACACAGATATTATTACACTGAATAAACAAACAGACCTGCAAGCATTAAATTCTCACTACACTAACTGGGGATCTAAGTGAAACAGATGAAAATTAAATATTATATTCTCTTTGAACTACCAAAATAAATAAATTTCTTTCGATTGTCCGTAAATCTACAACCCACACCACTGCTGAATACAAGGATGAAGGATGAAATTGAATGAATGATGCTATAATAATCTGACTGCAAAATTGAAGTGAGTGAGGCTGAGGAATGTACTCAGTGAGTGAGGCACACACAGAGCAAGATCAAAAAGTCAATAGGTTTTGACATCTCACTAATCTGTGGCTGGGAAGTTTAATTCGGATTTACGGCATTGGATTCTAGCTAGCTCTTATAGGTAGGGCCCCATGCTGCCACGCTACCTCATAAACGTCCTAATTGCCCCATGAAGTTATTTAATGGGCTGTTCATGTGCTGCACTGCCATGCTCCATGTCTTATCGCATGTAGGTAAATAGGGTAATTGGAGATTCTATAAAAAGCACAATTTATGGGTTTTAATTATAAGTTTTAATGGATTTTTTTAGAGTTCCTACGAAGGGTGGGGGGGGGGGGGGTCGAAAGTATAGGAGGTAAGGTAAGGATGTAAACATTACATTCATTTTTATCTAGAAATATAAAATAAAAATTTATCTAAAGAAAATATAACTAGAAAGAATTCCACGCGGACCAGGCAGCAGACGGGACTCGAACCCTTCGCAATCCGGGCGAATGCACTAACCAATTATGCTACCGCGGCCCTCACGGAATGTGGAAATTTTTCTAGTTATATTTTCTTTAGATTTTAACATCAAGCAGTTACATGCTTTAAAATAATAAAAATTATAACTATAATTGCTATTTCTTCTTTCAAATGTTTAATACTTGTAAAAGTATTCATCTGACATTGTGGGTTACCTATAATGCGAAGAGATCAAAGAGATGGCGCTGCCTAGCAGCTTGAATGGCTAGAAGAATTTCGACGCGGTCCGTGAGGGCCGCGGTTGCATAATTGGTCAGTGCATTCGCCCGGACTGCGAAGGGTGCGGGTTCGAGTCCCGTCTGCTGCCTGGTCCGTGTGGATTTTTTCTAGTTATATTTTCTTTAGATTTAAACATGAAGCAGTTACATGCTTTAAAATAATAAAAATTATAATTAACTATAAAAAAATATTTTAAAACCAAGCTTTTATCGAATCTAAAACTAATAAAATAAAATTTGCCTTAAACTTAAATCGTCATTACAAAATTTATATACTTATATTAATTTAGAGGCTTGTCGCCAGGTTTAAAGTAGGGTACTGGTATTTACTTAGTTCGATTTTGTTTTTATTAAAATCAATAAGATCAAATTTTGTTTATCTACACAGGTAAATCTCGGGGCATGCTTTTATATTTTTATTTTATTTTACATTTTGTAATGACGATATAAGTTAATAGTATACGTTTTAAAGTAAATTTTATTCCCTTTAGCACATTTCATTAAAATATTTTTTTATAAGATTTTTACAAAACCCCTTATTCTCAGCAAGCCCTTATATTTGTAACTACTCATATTGTAGGAAAACATAAAAAATAAATTTAAATAATAATAGTCCGCCAAAAAATCGAAAATCTTGGATATTCGCCATATTGGATTTAGAATGACGTCTTACAGCTAATGTCATTCAAAGTAAACATGTGTACAGGTTAATCGAATGAAAATTATCTGCTTTAAAATTGAGTTGCAAGAAGATTGGAATAGCAAAATTGCTAACAGGCCGCTTTGGTGCTGCTTAAAAATTAACCTTAAATAAATATTGTAATGAAGTTACTTAGAACTTATATACCTATGTTCCTTGGTCGAGACCTAAACAGACATAGCAAAGCTTTTAAAATTGTTACGTTAAAGAAACCTTTTTGGTATTTAGAAAAATAAATACATAATACAGCGGAAAAGCAAAATCACTTATACGCCACTTTGGTGCTGCTTAAAAATTAACATTAAATGTGAATGAAAATTAAGTTCATTTTCAAGCAACACCAAAGTGGCGTTTAAGCGATTTTGTTTTCCACTGTCATATAGTTTATTGTCAAAAGCGACGTTTGATGACATTGCTGTATAGATTCTGAAAGGAACTATTGAATGCACAATTTTATTTTTCGATAATAATTTTATAATATTTATCTTCTCTATTATATTTATTTTGTGAATTGGAAATTTTAAGTCAGTAATAACAACTAGATGCCTCATTCAGACTTTTGGCCTTTTGGTGTTGCTGAAAAACCTGTTGTTTGCAGTACAGTTGATGATGGTGACTTGAATAGAGATTCAATACTCCTGGTAAACCTATGAGTGTTTTATTTATTATTTTACAACTTTTGTCTCTTAGTGCTTGATATTTTATCTCAAATTAGTGAAGTACTTATTATGGCAGCAAACAATTATGCACAAACTTGTTGTTTGTTTGTTGCCAAAATAGAAAAAAAACCCGCCAAATTGCCAGCTGGGCTCGTGTACGAAGGGTTCTTGACCACAACATTAGACACAATATTGCAATATTGAGCAAAAAATGTCTAATTTATTTTTTACAAATAATTATTTATAAAGTGAATATACATCTAAATATTCTGTGAATAATTGAAGGGTGTACCTATTTATTAATATTTCACAAGAAACCGCAAATTATCACTTTATTAGTATGAGAGCCTCCCTTAAATATTTGTTTTATTCTGTTTATAGAATTTGCTGTTACAGCGGCAAAAGAAGTACCTACATCATCTGTAAAAAATTCGAATGTCTAGCTATGACGGTTCATAAGATACAGCCTGGTGACAGACTGACGGACAGTGGAGTCTTAGTAATAGGGTCCCGTTTTTACCCTAATATCCTTTTATGTTGAATATTTAGCAAAAACAGTTGGGTGACATGGAGAGCGAAGTGAAAGAGATTCAAATGGAACTGGATGCTATCAAGCGGGATCGCTTGGATCTTCACCAGAGGAAAATCAATGACGTCAATAGGGTTAGTGTAGGTACCTAATATAGACAATATTTGGATTTATGAATAAAGCGTTATAAAGATGGAGGGCGGGGGCGTATTTCAAAATTTGGCGCCCCGGGCCAATGGCGAATTGCACACATTCAAAGAGAATATAATCATTCGTTCAACAACGAATGTCTTTAAATGGCTTCTGGCGCAGACGCAGCTCTTACAGCGGCCCCACGCACCCTGCCGCCCCGAACCATAGGCCTCTTGGCTATAGGGTACGTGCGCCCCTGATGAAAGAGCTCAATGGCGCAGATGGTATAGTGTATGTGTAAGAAAATGCACACGTTGTATTAACTGTAGTTATTTAATAATCTTCATCACAATTACAATATTGTAATTAACAAAGTAGGTAGTCATTATTCGTACAATCGTATTCCAGGAAGTCAGTCCATGGATATACTATGCTATAGAGTAAAAGGGTAACGTTCAGAATCTCTACCGAGAAAGCCGCATTCATGACAGGTGGTAAGCGTGTTTATTCGCGATCATGGAAGTTAAGAAACTGTCTTAATGGTCGGTCGTTGCATTATGTAGCTCCTTCATGCTATGGAAAGTACGTTATGCCATTGGTCCCGGCTGCATCTGCAGTCGTTAGCATCCACCGATCCGCTCTGGGACTGCGTGGTGGGTCACACCCTAACGGAAAGATTAGAATTATCAATCTTGCGAATTACATTCCCTAGTTGATTGGTAAAAAGATAGATATTTATTACCTCGGACAATATTTTAGATCTGACTTTTTTTACTTTTAATAGCCTGCGCAGACGAGGGACTTTTGTCCTCCGAAATAGATCGCTTACAATTGCATCGAGTAACGCACACGCAATAGTTTAAAAAATACCTCGTACAAAAAGTCCCGTGAACACCGAGAGACCGGTCAGGACAAATGTATGCGAGAGCCTGGCAAATAATTGAACTCCTGTGACAAGGTGCAGGCGCTGTGCGGTTGAGGAGCTCGATGGCGCAAGTGGTTAGCGCGTTTGGCTGCGATCGTTGAAGCTAAGCAACTTTCGCAGTGGTCGGTCAATGGATGGGTGACCAAAAATGTATTATCTCGAACTCCTCCGTGCTTCGGAAGGTACGTTATGTCGTTAGTCCCTGCTGCATCGGCAGTCGTTATCACCTACCAATCTCCCTATTCCATCCATGGAATGCCTGTGCTCCAGCATTGGGAACATTAATAGGCTGGTGATGATGACAAGGTGCAGCAGTGCACACAGCGAACTTCAGTCCGGGTTGTGCGCTCGATCCCATTGAAAGAATTGGACCCAATATTCTCCTCTAAAACGTCTTCTGTTTTTCTCAAACTTCATTTTTATAACAACACCTACATTTTTAAAATTTTCATGTCAAATGTTCGCACATCGTGTGCGTTTAGTCCGTGACAAGTCCTTGGCGGCCATTTCTATCACGATTCAGGGACTTTTGTACTCCGCGAACAGAATTCCTTCATCAAAAGACTTTTGAGTAATTTTAACCTTAAGTTTACGTGCAAAGAAAGTTTTCTGAAGGAATTATTCCACTATATTAAATTTACAGGAGCCCGATCAAAAACCTGACGTTGTTCGAGATAATACAGCATTTAGCGATGACGGTTCGACAAAGGACCACAGCAGGTCATCAGAGGTACAGAATCCTACTAACTAATATTATAAATGCGAAAGTAACTCACTTTCGCATTTATGAGTTACATTTTCACGCCTGAACCGAATGATATTACCTGAACCACTCAATCGACTGTCCTGATTTTTTTATCAGTGGCCCGTGTCCCACCCGTAGGGCCACCACGGTATACAACTTTATAAGTACCCTTGGTATTTAGTAGTGGAAAACCGTGATCCTAGCCAGTGCCGTCTTTGACCTACTGGAGGCCCTGGGCATATTAGGATAATGGGACCCCTATGACTTTTGTGATTTAACAGGAACTAGGGACTTTGTATTTGATCTGAGGGGGCCCCCTATCGATCGCAGGGCCCTGGGCACTTGCCCAAAGTGCCCACTGGGAAAGACGAATCTGATCAGTATTACAAACCGGGGGGACCACGTGCCCTTGAACGTTTTTTTTTATATAGTGATAGATGACACCAAAGAGCCGATTTTATGCTACTAATTGTCAGGGCAATAGAACGCGGTAAAATTGAGCTTTAAATGTTGTATGGGCAACCAATTATTCCACGCAGATAAAGTCGCGGCCACCTGCTAATAAAAATCAACGTACTTCATTAATGTTGAGCGAATATTTGTTTAAGATCCATTGATCGATCAATCATTTTGTTTTTGTTACCTACTTGATAATATAGTTGTCGCCAAGATAACGTAAATACTGGATAACACAAAAAAACGAACTTTGTGGACATAAAAAAATAAACTAACATTAACTTTCATTTAATGAAATGAGCATGTTTCAACAATAGCTATTGACTAAAGTATACAAATTTTAACCAAGCTTATTATTTCTTCATTCAAGCTATCAAAACTCCGAGAAGAACTTATAAGAGCAAAGAATGCAGCGGATCAAGAAAGATTTCAAAGGGAAAAATACGAATCAAAATTAAAAGTTCTTGAAACGAAATTAAACGTTATATGCTGTACAGATCTAACAACGGAAGTGAAGGCAAGTCATCCTACTAATAAAATAATTAAAAATGTGAGAGTTTGTACGTTTGTGTGTTTGTATGTGTTACTCAATCATGCAAAAATTACTGAAGGACATAGGAAACTTTTTTGTCCCGGAAAGAACTAGACTCCTGTGATATTCCCAAAAAAACAAAGTTAACGTGGATGAAGTCGCGGGAGCTGATTATATAGGATTTTCCAATAGGAACAGGGTATCTTTGACAGCCGATGGTGGACATATTAGATCGCCTATTGGTGCAACTTTTTGATAGTACAGTAAGTTCTGCATATACATACCAGTCGATATTCAGTTGAGCAACGCGTTGAAATCATTAAAAAGTATTGTCAAAACGGTGGTTCACTTTATCTTACGTTTTTTGCGTTATAAGAAACTTGTGGTCAACGTAGCCGTCTTTAGGAGAACATGTTAAATCATTTCAAAATGCTGGTTTTGGCTTGAATTTTTTAAAAGATTCAAGAATGGCCGTTGCTTCAGAAAGAGTGACTATCTATTGCGTTGTGATGTGTATTTTGAGGTGGGGGCTTAAGTGGCCGTATTTTTCGAGAACGATGTCGGTACTCCCTTAATTGTGATTTGGTGATCATCACAGGATCATAATTCGGTTTTTTGTCCGTAATTGAAAGACATGACTCTGAGGGACATTTGGTTTTAGCTGGGTAGCGTCAACGTCATATTGCCAGAGAAACAGTCAATTTATTGAAAGAGAAATTCAAAGAGTACGGATCTTTAGATTCAGGGATAAGACATAGTCTCCAAGATCATGAGATTAAATGTCCCTTGAAATGTTTTTGGCAGTTAGAAAATGAAATGCCAAGCTGTAAAATTAAATAAGATTTGCCTAAATTCAAAAAACAAAACGATAGAACTAAAATTAATAATTGGATGTCTTTATTGGCGTAGGAAAATAAAAAGTTTACCGAGGAGGAGGTTCATTCACTGAAAATTCAGATACGCGATTTGAACGAAGAGATAGAGGAAATGCGAATAACTGTTATGGAAAAAACAGAACAACTTCAAGACTATCGTGTTAAGGTATTTCATAGTTCATGAACTATCACGTTACCATTATTTTTTATGTTACAAGCGTATGATCTGCCTGATGGTAAACGGCCACCATAGCATATAGACGCTTGCGATACCGAAGATATTACTCGCACCGTTGCCTAATCTTCTACCCCGTCAAGCCTTATAACCTTAATCACCGACAGAAACACAACACCAACAAAAGGTAGTGTTATTTTACTGTGGTCTTCTATAAGGTGGATAATTCTCTTTCATCATCATCATGATGTCAGCCGTATGACGCCCACTGCTGAGCATAGGCCTCCCCCAAGGATCTCCACACCGATCGGTCCTGCGCTACTCGCATCCATCGGCTTCCCGCGACCTTCACAAGATCGTCGGTCTACCTTGTAGGGGGCCTGGCCACTGAGCGTCGTCCGGTGCGTGCGTGCCATTCCAGATCCTTTCCGCCCCAACGGTCATCGGTTATTCTTGCTACGTGTCCCGCTCACTGCCACTTCAGCAGAGCAATCGTTCGAGCGATATCGGTAACGTTGGTTCTCCTACGGATTTCCTCATTTCGGATTCTATCGCGTAGGGAAACACCAAGCATCGCTCTCTCCATTGCTCGCTGTGTGACCTTAAGCCTTCTTATGAGACCCGCAGTAAAAAAAAAGTCTCGCTGCCGTAGGTCATCACTGGCAACACACACTGGACAAAGACTTTTGTCTTGAGACACTGAGGTAATTCGGACGCGAAGATTTTTCGTAGCTTCCCGAACGCTGCCCATACGAGCTGGATACGACGAGAGATCTCTTTCTCAAAGTTGGACCTAACTAACTGGACTGTTTATCCTAGGTAGACGTAACAGTCGACAACTTCGAGTGTACTGTTCCCAATAAATGCTAAAGTAGCACTAAATGCTAATTCTCTTTACGTTTATATTAATCATACTGTCTATAGGCATTGCGAGGGGTCTTTTTCTTTGCACACCGCCGCTTGCTCCAAAAATTCTTGCGATGATAAATGATTTTCCAGTTTAAAAGAATAAATTGTAATGAATTGAATCCATGTGGACGCCAATGATAATGTCAAACGCCAATACGTAAATGATACTTTCAAAACTTATCACTATATTTCCACATACTCGTTTCGGTTTCTTGTATTTTCTATGTTTTACTTGGATAATTGAACTTGGATAATTTTCTATGTTTTAGTTAACTTATTTAGCTATTTTCTTTCCCGAAGTACCTACAAGCCCAACAACAAGTTGAAGAGTTGAAAAGGCAGCTGGATGTCATAGAGTTTGATAATAAACAAGTATCTGATCAAATCCAAATTGAAATACAGAAGATGAAGGTAACAATAACATCGGTGGGCTCTACTATCCTACTAATATTAAAAATGTGCAAGTTTGTATGTTTGTTACTGAATCACGTAAAGCTTCTGAATGGATTTGGATGAAATTTGGTAGAGCTTATGACCTGATTAAGACACAGTCTAAAAAATGTGAGGTTCCTGTGGGATTTTCATAGCGCCAAAGTTATAGCGGACACAGTTGCGGGCGGCCGCTATTAGCACCTACTTAAGTACTTATAATTTTCGCTTTAATCATTGTTTTCATCGTCGTCCATCTCACACTGACTAAGGTAGTTTTTCATTAAAACTACGTAAGTCAGAATGGGATATTGAGAGGCCGTAGGGTAAAAATATTAATTTTAAGATTATACCCGCTATATACCTATAATCGTCCAAATTTCTTCGTTCGAATATTTATGCGGTAATTTAGAAATAATATTCACATTTATTTTTTCTTAAAATCGTGTTTAATATTTGGATTACTTTTAATGGGGCAAAGCAAATAAAATTTTGGTAGGGGAGCCCAAATGGGGGATTTTTGGAATTACTCAAGCGCGGCAGATAAGGGGGCAATTATATAGGGTCGAACGTCGAGTGCAGCAAAAAGAAAATTCAACAAACGACCATGACTTTTGATTGCGTCCAAATCGTCAGTCTTTTGAATAGGCATAAGAGGGTTCACGTAACATCCCTTCTCAATTATATTTTTATTTATTAAGCATTTAACTGTTTAAATGCAAAATTTAACTAGATACAATCCCAATGTCTGACTAGCTGGAATATTGTTTTTCCTATATTTTCCTTAAACCTTTAGCGCGGCCACTTACCACACCACGCAAACCGGCAGATCAATATTTTTTCCGTCCTCAGGGCCGTTACGTGAACACTCTAGAAGCTTCTATTCAAAAGACTGAAAATTTGGACGCGACCAAAAGTCATTGCCGTTTTTTTGCTGCCCTAGCCGTTACCGACTTTTGTCGCTACATAGAGGGCTCAGGTATGGTGGGAGTACGCACAAGGTGCAAGGTTACCCTCCTTATGTTAAAGGTACAATTCCGCAATGGGTTGCAGGCGACAACAGCAGGCGACACTGGTGCATTATATGCATTGTGCAGCCGCGGCATGTCGCCGCGGTCGGAATCAATTTCATAGAGATTCATAGAAACTAGTAGTGTCGCCTGCAGTCTGCAGCTGCGGCTTGTGGTCTGCGGTTCAGTTCGGACTTGTACCTTAATCTGACGTGCTCGCTTGGGCTCCTACTATTAGACCTCGAATAAGTTCTATTATTATCGAATATTTCAAATGTTTTGTATATCACTAACTTTGTTTAAAAATACACGGTCCGCCCGTCCACAAAACTGGAAAAGAAAATAATAATATTTTTTTTGTTTACCGAGGTGTTTCTTCGTGTAAATTTTAATCGACTTTGAAATTTGGCTGATTCTTCTTGACTTTACAGATTGCTTCAATTGACTAATTTATGAATGGACATTTTGTCTTTATAGTGGTAGTGGAACGCTTAGTACTTAGATGCGAAACATCCAATCAATGGAATACATACCTTATTCTTATATTATATTACAAAAATATTTAATAACATTAGTAATTTTTTGGAACTTCTTTCAGATGCAGTTTCAAGAAAAGTTGCAAGAGCTTTCTCCTTTGCCGGATCTCCTGAAAGGGGCGCAAATACAACTTCAAGAAGCCAAACAAATGCAAAAGCTGGCTGAAGATAGTTCGCAGCAGCTCTCTAATGAATTGAATCGCGTCAAGGAAAAGGTAAGAAATGTAAAATTCGTTTTTTGAGCATCTCACAGGAACATAATTTTTTTTCGGGATAAAAGTATTCTAAGTCTCAGTGCATTCCCCGTAGCATGAGCACCACAATTAAAATTATATCACGTTTTTTATCGCGTGTAACTGTCAAACTCCATAGTAATTTGAAAATTGAGCGTGATAAAAACGCGTTATGTATCATATCGCGGTACTCATTCTAGGGGGCTGGTTATAAGGTATATGCGTACCAAATTTCATTTAAATCCGTGCAGTATGTAGTTTTTACAAACACATAAATGTACAAACTTTCAAATGTATTATTACTTTTTGAAAAACACTGAAACAGGTGTTCGCTTATTTAGTTAACGGATTAACCTCGTGATCATGGTGCACCCTACAAACTTTGGAAAATCCTTTCTTGGCGCACATATACATTATTAAAACTATATGTGTGGTAAACTTCAGCCCAATCCGTTAAGTGTTTTGAGCTGTGCGTTGATAGAGTAGATCAGTTAGTCAGTAACGGTAATCTGTGGTAACGGTTGCCTTTTAAATGTATAGAGAACTTTTCCTCGTCATTATCTTCTTTACTCTACGTAGTAAGATCTATAAATTGCTGACCTTAATATTGCAATCCAATATGTATTAACATAACAAGTCGTAATGCTTTTATTAAGACTTTTTGAAAGAGGGTAAAGCGCGATAGTTAACTTTTTCATTATTCTTTGCCTTGCGGATCCTTTTGTGCTACCAAGAATGAATTTTATGATTTTTTTTAATGCATAATAGGCTAGGCGTTTGACCACAATCTCGCCTGATGGAAAGCGATGATGAGGCCTAAGGTACACTTCTGCCTACAAGATGCCTATTCACTCTGGCCTTGAAGATGTCCAGATTATATTCTTCTAATTGTATCGCCTTCGTCAAATATTGTATAGAAAAAGCTTGTTTGTGCTTACGTCCGATAGGCTTAGTTTTCATTGAAACTGGTAATATAAAAAGAAACTTAAACAAAAATAAAACCGACTTCAATATCGAAAATGAAACGTAAAAAGTAAATAATCACATCTTGCTCAAGATTTGGAAGTCGGGCGGGGCCAAGATTGAAACACGTAATTACGATTATAAATGAAAGTCTTATTCATATGAAAATGACATCGTTCAAGTAAACAATAAACAAAAATGCTCATAAAATAAAAACCACTGGGTCAAACTAAATATTTTTTGGGACGAGACGGCAAGTATCTCTCATCGAAAAAAAAAGCACTCAAATCGGATAGGAAATATTGAAGTACTTAATTGGTCCAAGTACCAAAAATGCTTATGAAATCAAAACAACTGAACTAAACTGGATTAAATTGTTATGGGACCAAAAGGCAACTATTCCACATCGAACAAAAAAGAATCATGTTATTCGGATCAGAAATGTATGTTGCAGTAATCGATGTACATACTTAAAAAGAAAAAAACACCGACTGAATTGAGAATCTTTCCTTTTTGGAGTCGGTAAAAATTATAAAATTTAGTCTCGCTTGAGCCTCAGGATTGACTTTAACATTTTAATATTAATAGAATTACAAGTTTGGTGGATCCATGGCTATAATAATCCATGTTTTTTCTGGCATTCTTCCAGCTTGTTATTGTAGTAAACAATTTAAGCCAGGAAAAGGCTGATAAGACGAAATTGTACGAAGAAAACAAGACGTTGAGAGCTTCCGTTGACGAAAAGCAGAAGGAAGTTGAGGCGCTCAGTAAAGATATGGAAGAAAACAAGTGAGTGCTGAATTGTTTTATTTTGAGTCTTTAGTTGTTATTTAGGTTAAAACAGCTGTTGATCATGTTAACACACTATAAATAACTACCGTACATTACCTTTGGAGTGTTGAAATACTTTTAGTTTTGGGATTTAGTGGTGATTTTGGGATTTACTCGAACGCGGCAGAATACCTAGACCCTTTATGTACGGGTTCGCCCCTACGTTTAGGGCAGCAAAAAAAAAACAAACGCGCATGACATATGGCGCGAATACACTTGGTCGCTAGCCCGAACACGAGTGCCAAAGGAATTAGGGTAAACGACTTAGTGTAAATAAACGGAGTCGATTACGCCCGTATTCGGGAAGATTTGCTTTTATTTACACGACACCGTCTTCCGGCCCATATTCTAGTGTAAATATTGCTTTGGTGGCCCGAATCCGAGTAATGTCTTTCGTGAACCCGAATATGGGGTAGCGACCAAATGTAATTGCAGCATTACGGTAGCGTCTAAATCGTCAGTTTTTTGAATAGGTGCTACTGGATGGTTCATGTAATATCCCTTCTCAATATCTGACGCAGGCGAATATTTATTCCTTTATTCTACACTTTTCTACGGCCAGCCCATATCACATGTAAACTGACAGATTAATATTGTTTCCGTCATTAGAACCATAACGTGATTGAAGCTCCTGGAAGGTTCACGTAATATTTCTACCCCTACAATGAAAATTAGAAGTTGATCAATTGCAATATATATATATTTGTAAATCTAGTTGTGTAAGTCTAGATGAGGTCGGATAGTTTCTTAAATCATTTCTGTATGTTGTTAGGTAACAGTCACGATAATTCTATTTCGGTAAAAGATTATTGGGGATTTCAGAGATGACGTCAGTAATGGGCACAACACGAAAAATTGCCTTTTATAATAATCTAAAGCTCGGACCTGAGAAGCAAATGCTATTAAATGGTGTTTGTGGGAATACCCTAGTAATGATTATGCTAATGGTAAATTAAGTCATTGCCTAATGATGTGTAACTTTTTTCTCAAATGTGCGCTAAAACTGACGTCTCACCTCGCCACTATTGAAACGCTTCAAAATAATGATATGTTAGATTAAGTCTTAAAAACTCTATTGTATTACGCAGGTGCTTATTTTTTGTTATACCAAGGCATAAACTGACTAATATCAAGAAACATCGTTGCAACTTAGGATATTCTAAGCAGATCACGGTTTACAGTAATTGGAATTGAAAAGAAGTTTGCAATAAACCCCGTGTTCACAGTTAAATGACACTAACTTTTGATGAAAAATTCTCTTTGCTTGTGTGTAAGATTTCAGGGCTCTACGGGGTAGGGGATTCCATTTAAGGTTAATACTCACGGAGTAGTTTTTTTCCCCACATACAGGCAAATGCACACAGTGAGTTCATAGCCTAAGCCGGCAAGGAGACGGGGGCTATATTTAAGTTTGCGACTGCACTCCGCTTACCCAACCTCAGACAGCGTGAGATAATTAGATGGGCCTCATATAAAATAAAATAGCAATTCTAACCTAGCTAAGGAATACCTTATAGGTCAGGAAAGTACAAGTTCTTAGATTTCAAAAGGGATTCTAAGCAATAAAATATCATAAACCATTGATCTCACTAAATCGGAAATCTGGAACTGTAAATGTTAACAAAGAGGTGGCACTAAAACAAAAAGTTCTTAGAATACTAGTTAATAATTAAATTAGAATAGGTACTAAATACTAATATAATTATGAAAACGTAGCATAGGTAATACAAGTAAGAAAATTGTTGGACGAATAACAATTCCCTTTTGTGGCCTAAACAACCACAACCTAGCCTACACACGATAACAATTAGGAATATATGCTTCGCTCAGACATAGAGATAACCTGCCAAGAGCCAAAACCTAATTCAATGTTCAGGTACAACTTGTTACGGCTCGAGGAGAAATTGATGCAGAACGACGCCCTGTATAAAGAGAAGAAATCAGAGTGCATGCAATTGTTGAAAGACATGGAGGAAACGAAGATTGAGAGCAGCAGGACCTTAAACAGGTTCAAAGAGAGGGCGGAGTCGATGAGGAGATATTTACATACGCAAATCACCGAGATGGAAAGGCAGATGGTGGCGACGCGAGCGCAGTGCAGACAATGCCAGAAAGAAAGGGATGAGGTGAGAGGGACTTTCGAAATTCTTAATTTATTTATGTTTTCATTTTCACCTGTATCTTTGAATGTATATATATTTTTTAGCTTTTTACAAATTTGTTACGAATCTTCCGATGTCCGTCCATCTTTAGCTCGTTGTATCTCATGCACCGTACCTGTTGATCACACCAGAAAGAGTATATTTATTCTCATTTAATTACTATCTAGTTGGAGGAGGTCGATGGCGTAGGTGGTTAGCGCGTTCGGTCTGCGATCGCGGAAGTTAAGCAACGTTTGCAATGGTTGGTCATTGGATGGGTGATCAAAACTCAATATCTTTAGATTCTCCGTGCTTCGGAAAGCACGCTTAACCATTGGTCCCGGCTGCATCCGGATGTCGTTAGCACCCGCCAATCCCCATTGGGCCCGCGTGGTGGGTTCTGGTCTCGGCCCGATCTCCCTATTTCATCCATAGGGAAGGCCTATGCCCACGTGGGAACATTAATAAATCGGTGATGATGAGTATTTTCATTATATTTTTTAACCATTTTAAAGAGCAATGAAGTAAAGAAATAGTTAATGATAAATTATATCGGACTAAAAATAAGCGGGATAAATGACGCAACAATTTTTGGACTTGTGCACTCTATCGCAATACAAAAGTCCTTTGACTTCAACTGCAGCAATTTGAGCGTTTTAGAACTTTGCTAACTTGATTCAAGCTTGGTTAGTAGGAGTTCAAAGTATTATTACACTTAATTAGAGTAAATGGAACACTTACCGTTAACTTATCACTTAACGGTGCTGAAGTACAAAGTGCCTAGAACTTAAGAGTGCAATTATTTGAGGAAACAAAAGTGTGAAATAAAATTTAATGAGCTTTTTTTATTTGAATTTAATTTATCTGTACAAATGTTAAATCAAGTTGAATCTCAGAACCTTAGTTAATCAAAGTTCAGAAGATCCATTGGTCAGAGCCACGATTGATCCAGTAAGACTTTTTCTAATTGGGTTTCATTTATGGTCCTCATTAGATTTTTGATATTGAAATATCGGATAATTAAAATCGGATTTCATTCACTGAGACTTTCTCTCATTAGCTATGATTGTGAAATAAATTTGACAGCAGACAGCTGTAATTCGTAACCAGTTGTGATCGAACACTGACTTTTTCATCCTTAGTTGTAACCATCAGTTGAGGAGCTCGATGGCGCAGGTGGCTAGCGCGTTCGGCTGCGATCGTTGAAGTTAAGCAACTTTCGCAGTGGTCGGTCATTGGATGGGTGACCAAAAATTTACTATCTCGAGCTCCTCCGTGCTTCGGAAGGCACGTTAAGCCGTTGGTCCCGGCTGCATTTGCAGTCGTTAGCACCTACCAATCCGCACTGGGCCCGCGTGGTGGGTCATGGCCCAATCTCCCTATTCCATCCATAGGGAAGGCTTGTGCCCCAGCAGTGGGGACATTAATAGGCTGATGATGATGAACCATCAGTTACGATTGAGGATGTTTTCTTGCCAGGTTGAAACATAGTTTTGATCGCGGCCGAAGACTTCAACAAGCAGTGGCTAATTAAAACTAATTTTACCATAATTTGTTGTTGTGAACGAGAAATAATTAGAATCACAAGGAATATAGCAGAATAAATAGATTCGTTGGAAGAAAGAACTCAGCCATTGCTCATGTATTAGACACTAGTGGGTGCCTGCAACTTCGTCTGCGTGGAAAAATTGGTTTCCCATACAAACTTCCACCCACCCTTTTCACCCCCCTAAATAGGATAAAAACTATCCTATATCCTTCTCTAGGACTCAAACTATCTCTATACCAAATTTCATCTAAATCTGTTCAGCTGTTTAAGCGTGAAGAGTTAACAGACTGACAGAAAGGCAGACACACTTTCGCATTTATTATTATTAGTATGGAAGTAAAGACATAGATTTAAAAAGAATAAACTAATTATATTAAAATATACTTACTTAAAAATAACAACGAAAAGACACAAAATTTGAAAATGCCATAAAGAGTTGAATAAAAATAGATATTTATCGGACACTGTCTGGAGATAAAAATCCTTACTTTTTTATGAAGTGTTTGTCTACTTTTTTAGTATTAATAGAATAATTTAATTTAAAAATGTTATAACAAAAAATAAAAGCCGTCTTCATAAAGCAAAACCACTAAAATGTAAGGAATAATGCATATCCTTTACTTATATCTTCTTTATAATGAAAGTGAAATTATCAATTTAAGCCGATACCAAATATTGTCTCTTTATTGTTTAGCTCCGGCAACGCATCCTAATCCAATTGAACAATTTACAAGAGAATTTCGAGATGTCCGAGATCAGGCTGCGAACTCTTCAGAATCAAGTGCTAACTTTGAAGGACAGCTATAAAGTACTCCTTACGGATGAGGAACCACCGACGAGCTATATCGACAACTGATTACAGTGTCAGCTCTGAACACGGGAAACCGGAAAACCTAAACTACCTTCTATACGATTTTTAAACAGATTTTGTGTTGTAGTTACCACCATTTTGATTATTTAAATGCGGTTTCAGGTAGGTATATAGGTACAGAAGATGCGAACAGTTGAATAATTGAACAGATTCGGCTAGCTTTTTTTGTATACTTATGTCACCTTAAAATTATAAATACCGTTAGATTATAATCTACCTCGATTTTATAAACTGCCGAAATCCACATTATAAACTGCCAAAAGATTGTGAACCAACACATACTGTTTACAAGTTAACGAATTATTTTTCAGTAGATTATAATCTATCAAAGTGAAACTTATTAGTACCAGCCTTCGGCCAGTTGACAATTTAACGCGCGATAGATTGTGATTTAACAGTTTTACTTCGATAGATTATAATCTACTGAAAAATAATTATTTGAATACGGTTTCATGTAGGTATATAGGTACAGAAGATGCGAGCAGTTGAATAATTGAACAAATTCGGCTAGCTTTTTTTGTATACCTATGTCACCTTAAAATTATAAATACCGTTAGATTACAATCTACCTCACGACTTTATAAACTGCCGAAAGCTTGTGAACCATCACATACTGTTTACAAGTTAAAGAATTATGTTTCAGTAGATTATAATCTATCGAAGTGAAACTTATTAGGACCAGCCTTCGGCCAGTTGACAATTTAACGCGCGACAGATTGTGATTTAACAGTTTTACTTCGATAGATTATAATCTACTGAAAAATAATTCATTAAATTGTAAGCAGTATGTGACGGTTCACAATCTTTCGGCAGTTTATAATGTGGATTTTGGCAGTTTATAATGGCGAGATAGATTATAACGTTGTACACTACCTATAAACTGTAAGAAAGACCTATCGGTCGTTCTTACAGTATGCCGTTCTGTGTCCACAGAGTTAGGATTTTTTTTGGTTAATTACAAATTATTTTTTCTTACACTACACTTTCATAAAACTAATTCTAAAGCTGCAAGTTATTTTCAACACGAATTTAATTTCAATTCACAAAACACTGTTTACATTCGACAACAAACGAATTAACAAATAAATATGGTGGACGCGGGGTACATAACGTTCAACCAAGCACCGCGAGAGGTGCGTTCCGTCGTAAGCCATTTCACAATTTGACTGTTTGGCATAGATTACAATCTACCTAAAATAATGCGTTAAATTGTAAACAGTATGTTACGGTTCACAATCTTTCGGCAGTTTACCATCTCGCGACATAGATTATTATGATAATGGTATTTACAATTTCACGGTGACGTTATACTTATATATTACATAACAATTGTTGTGAATACTGGCGTAGATAATAAATATATTGTATTATTTTGATAAGTGTAATTATTTAGACAATTCCTTTTGCCCTCTTAATATTAAACGAAATTTAACATTTTCACTAACTCTAATTAAATTTCACGAGTCCTCATTTATTGGCTATGTCTTATTTTTTTTATCACCGAGAGAATCATAGCACCATCTTCAATCAAAGTTAAATAGTAAATAGTTATTATGACGACCTCCGTGGCCAAGTTGTTTGTACGCCGGGTTTCATGGTGTCGCCGACTCTAGAGGTCCCGGGTTCAAATGCCGGTGGGGGCAGATGTTTGTGTGATGAATAAGAGCATTTTTTTTTACTCCAGTCATGGATGTTTAATATGTATTTCTATAAAAATATACTTATATTGACAGTATATGTATTCTATCCGTTACCAAGTATCCCATAACACACAAGCCTCATAGTGCTTACTTTGGGGCTATGGTAATTGGTGTGAGTGTTGGAAATATTTTTTTTATTTAAATATTGATTGTTATTTCTAAGTGCGACCGTATTGAAATAGAAAAGCATATGGGTGAGTAATATTATTCCTGTCACTAAGTACCTAGGTACACAACAGAGGGTCTGGCAGAAAATAATCCTAACTAAACATCTAAGTGGTTGGTTCCTTTAATAAAAGAAAAGGTAAATTTAAAAAATCAAAAAAACCCGACTGCTTAATTATACTTAAAATAAAAACTGAAAAGATAAAAACAAGTCCAGTAGTCTATAATTCTGTTAATAAGGAACAAAGCTACTTTAACAGTCGGGACCCATTAGTTAATCAAGAATTTAAAATAATATTTTTCAATAATGGGTCCTGACTGTTAAAGTGGCTTTGTTCCTTATTAACAGAATTATAGACTACTGGACTTGTTTTTATCTTTTCAGTTTTTATTTTAAGTATAATTAAGCAGTCGGGTCTTTTTGATTTTTTTAAATTTACCTTTTTTATTTCACACTTTTTAGTTAGTATTATAAGATGAATGATACCCCACTCGACATATTTTGTCAACTTATTTTTTTTACTTTGTCACAATATGGCGCCTTATTTTCCCCATATTGAATTTTGACTACTATGATGTCTTTAGTAGCACTCCCATGATTGAGACGAATCGATTTATGTATGAATCATTAAAATCGGTCCAGGCGTTCGGTCTCTAGTGTGCCACAAAGGAACAAACATAATGTATAGACTGTTAAACACTATACCCTGTATGCGCGTCGCGCTTCGCGCTCTTGCATTGCGCAGTCGGGTAAAAAAGGCTAAATTGATTTCCCGCTCGTAGCGGAGTCTCGGAGCGGAGTCTTCCTTTTTGCTGTCATGATGCACCTTTAAGTATTACGTTGATAATCGTGATTTTCAGATGGTTTGAAAGAAAACAAAGAATTTCATTCATAATAAAAAAGATTATACATGTTTGTTATTTTCATGTATGCAATATAGGGGATGAATATGCATTTCAAATAAGCCTTAATCTTCTATATATTTAAAACTCAAAGGTGACTGACTGATATAGTGATCTATCAACGCACAGCCCAAACCACTGGACTGGTCGGGCTGAAATTTGGCATGCAGGTAGATGTTATGACGTAGGCATCCGCTCATAAAGGATTTTGATCAATTCTACCCCCAAGGGGATAAAATAGGAAATGAAATTTTCTATGAAATTTTGTCAATTTTAAACCGATCGGGCTCAGACTTTGCATGCAGGTATAAGAAGAATCATAGATGAATGTCATTGTGTTTAATACAAGCCTGAGAACAAAAACTGTAGTCTACACTTCAGCTCTACACCGAAGCGAAGCGAGGGCGGGCCGCTAGTTTTTTATATAAACTCTATTTCTTTTGAATTGTCTCTCCATAAATACTGTTAAATATTGTTTTTATTTAAAAAACTAAAACGCGACTATACACAGTCAGGTCATAAGTATATTGTCATACAGTAAAAACTTTTCTTTTAGAATGCTGGCCACAAAAAAGTTTATTGAATTCGATTTTCGAATTGTTAATGAAAATAAAAATGTATACTTTTTAGAATTTTACTCATTATTAAATGTGGAGTGGACACATAAAGAAGACCGTGTTGCAGTTATTGCGTTGCATAATTGCGGTTACGCGCCAATTCAAATTTTTGACATACTGTAAAATTTGAATATAACCAAAAGATTCGTTTATCGTACCATCAAACGATACAATGAAGACTCTAGTGTAGATGACAAGTCAAGAAGTGGTCGCCCTCGATCTTTTAGGACACCAGCAGTGATAAAAGCTGTGAAGACGCGATATTAAAAAAAAACCCAAACGTAAGCAGAAACTGTTGGCCCTTCAGATGGGGTTAAGCAGAACCACGGTGTAAAGGGTGTTAAATGAAGACTTAGGGCTTCGGGCATATCGAAGAAAAACAGGACATCGTTTGAGTGCTCGTCTAATGGACCTGAGACTGAAGAGATGCCGCGCTCTGTTGAAGCGGTACGGGGGAAAAAATATCGGGAATGAAAATTTTTACCGTAGAAGAGAGCTACAACAAACAAAATGATAAGGTGTACGCGCACAGTAGTGAAGAAGCGAGCAACCGTATTCCGCGTGTTCAACAAGGTCATTTTCCATCCTCGCTCATGGTATGGTTGGGAGTTTCTTATTGGGGCTTAACAGAGGTACATTTTTGTGAGAAAGGTGTAAAAACGAAAGCAGTTGTGTATCAAAATACAGTCCTGACGAACCTTGTGGAACCTGTTTCCCATACCATGTTCAATAACAGGCACTGGGTATTCCAACAAGATTCGGCGCCAGCTCATAGAGCAAAGAGCACACAAGACTGGCTTTCGGTGCGTGAAATCGACTTCATCCGGCACGAAGACTGGCCCTCTTCCAGTCTAGATTTGAGTCCTTTAGATTACAAGATATGGAAACACTTGGAGGAAAAGGCGTGCTCAAAGCCTCATTCCAATTAGGAGTCACTCAAGACATCCTTGATTAAGGCAGCCGCCGATATTGTCATGGACCTCGTTCGTGCTGCGATAGACGACTGGCCGCGCAGATTGAAGGCCTGTATTCAAAATCACGGAGTTCATTTTGAATAAACTTTATTGTCATAAGAATCTATGTTTTGTTAAGTTAATTTTGGTATATAAATGGTTACATAATGCATAAACTTGTTTCAATTATTTTATATTAAACATGTGACAGAATTTATGACCTGACTAGGTATATATACATACAGATGGAGCTAAAGAAGTATCACTTCAGTCGTGTGGTCAATATGCACACTCGTTAATTTTTTGTGTAAAAAGGACCTGTGGCTCATTTGATGTGATTATGTAGCAACGGATTATCCCTAATCAAATGTTGGTTATCGTTTTAGTTACAGCGTGTAATAAAACAATTTCTGAATCTTCTTGCAATAACTTAATAACACCAGGTACACTATAAAGGAGCCCCTTTTCTAAGAGTTTCTTACTTCCCGTCTTTCGAAGAAAGGACGCTAGGGAAATCAAAATTGCATTAACTGGTAAATACATTGTTAAGGTACGGTACCGTCGCTATCTTTAAAGTGTTCTTTACTTTATTGTAATCCTCTTTACCTTTATAGTGTACTCTTTATAGTGTACCTATAAATGGAGACAATAACTATAATAATTATAATATTAAATATTTCCAACACTCACACCAATTAGCCTAGCCCCAAAGTAAGCACTATAAGGCTTGTGTTATGGGATACTAGGGTAACGGATAGAATACATATACTGTACATATATAAGTATATTTTTATAGAAAATACATATTAAACATCTATGACTGGAGTAAACAAAAAAATGCTCGTATTCATCACACAAACATCTGCCCTCACCGGGATTTGAACCCGGGACCTCTCGAGTCGGCGACACCATGAAACCCGGCGCACAAACCACTCTGCCGCGGAGGTCGTCATTCGTATGAACTATAAATAGTAACATAAACACTAACACATGTAATCGCAGTTGAAATTATTTTAACCAATCAAAAATCAACCCTGACGATGTTTTGGTTACACAGCAAGTTTTTTTTCCGTTCCATCAGCTGTTCCCACCGCCACGTTATTACAGTTGGATATATTTTTCTTATTTTTCCAAGTATCCTCCATGAATTGATGAATGCATAAGAATTAAAAGTCCCAAGGAAACATATCCATGGTAACTAGGAGCTCGATGGTGCAGGTGGTTAGTGGGGTCGGCCTTTTTTTTTACGTCAGGAAAATGCGTTACGCATACCCCACCAACTTGGGAGTGCGAAGGGGTTATGTGAGACTCCTCCCCTCTTCATCTCGCCCACCCGCTCAGCCAGTACGAGGGCTGGCTTAACGGCTGCTCTAGAGGAGGGGACCTACCCACTAAAACCTGACGATGCCCCTCACCTCACCGACGGGCTGTCTTCCCCGGGCGAACGATCCACCATCCGGCGGTACCACGCCCAGCGAGGAAACGGCACTGGATGAGGCCACGGGAACCCTTTCGGATACTTCCGCGAAATCACCAGTGAGTGTCCGACTCGAACGAACCCACCCATCAAGGGGATGCCCCGAGGCATCAGGGGCATCCCCGTCCATCAACAGAGGCCTGTGCAATGCAGGCTCTGGACCTCCCAAGTCCTGATCTGGCTTCCGTCGGTAACGACTAAGAGTCGGCGGTCGTCTTGCCGTCTCCTCGCCCTTATTCTCCTGCGTCTGAGAGAGTCTGCGTGGGCTTGTTCCTCGCGGATCCTCTCGGCGGCCTCCTTCTGAGAGATGACATTCTCGCAGAAGACCACTGCCCCCCAAGACCTGTCACTGCCCAGCATGGCTCTGACCACACTAGGCAAGGAGAGGTCACCCCCTAAAATCGCGAGTAAAGCACGTGACTATTTAATATACTGATGATGTTGATCAACTAGGAGATGGGAGAACCGCAATCGCTTTTTCCACTCCAGTTTAGGTATATTCAGTAATTTGATTTCTTTCATCCTTCAAAGTTTTATCATTTCAATGTCGCTTCCTATTTTCATATGTGGTTCGCTTTTAACAGGTCTTCACTTTTTTTAAACTTCATGTTAATTACAACACCACGTAATCTGAGAATATTTACTTCATTGGAGTGCACTTTTTCTAAATTTTCATCTACGCAGGCCATAAAGGATATTTATAACTGACTTGTTGTTTCGTCTGTTCTATGTTCCCTTACAAAGTTGATTATATTAGTATAGATGACATGGTATGCGATATGCGTTTATAGAACAGCGAATAATGGGCCATGTGTAAATGGTTATAATTATGAGTCCCATGGCAATCCTGTTGTATCATTAATTCTCTGCCACCCACCCTCTGAATAGATATCACACGGCATAATTTGTTATGTAACCCAGCTATTGTTCACTTGCCATGACCTTGTTCGTAATCGTTATGCTTAAATTCGGACCACAGGTTAGTTCCGTTATAACATTACGCAATATTTTATCGTCACTATCAATTGCTAAAGTTCTAAGTTTTCCGTTAAAATTTGTATGCACTTAGCGTTCCACAATGTTCCTACATTAGCAGCGTACGTAATAGTCAGAAGCGATGTGCCCTTGTTCAAGTTGAGGCCGTGCCTCTCGACTTGGCTCGTTTAATGTCAGCGCACCACGACCTTTATATTATACACAGCAAACCTCATTTTTATCAAGTTTTTTTTTCAGCTGCAGAGCCTAATAGTGCGCTGTTAACTGGAACTTAGTCAACTTGTTCTAGAAATTATTCGCAGTGAGCGAAGTCTTTGTAGACAAAAGATATACTTGTAGCCTATATAATTGGCCTCGTAAATACCAGGTATTGTCAGAGAGCAATTAAAGTAATTCCATAGAAGTCTAAATTAACTGGGTATCATGGTTTTTAAGCTTTTAAATATGAATAGCGGATTCATCGGAAGCATCAAATTGGAAGCGATCTCAATACTCCCCAGGGACGGAGCAAATCTTATTACAGGTGTACGCCCGTCCCGCCCTCTGGGTGAATATTTCCCATTTATTGCTTTTACTTTGAAAGTCATTTAGCGGTTTTTTTTCATTTGCAGTAGGTATCTGTTCTTTCTCTATTAAACTGGTTTAACCTAAACTGGTTTAAGGTCTTATACCATAATAATAACAAATAAATAAATATTTCAATCACGCACACCAATTAGCCTAGCCCCAAAATAAGCACTGTAAAGGCTTGTGTTATGGGTTATGTTTTATTCTAGGTAACGGATAGAATACATTTATACTATACATATATAAGTATATTTATATATATTAATACATATCAAACATCCATGACTGGAGTACAAATGACACAAACATATGCCCCCACCGGGATTCGAACCCGGGACAAAATCAATAATTCATTTAAAGGTCTTTGTGTACACTTCTAGAAAAAAGTCCCTAGCAATATCTAAAAATTAAGCATCAATAAAGTTAACACTACCAGTAAAAGGGTTCTTATTAATAAAGTCTATTATAAAGTGTCTGATTATATTTCAGACAAAAATGCTTGGGTTTAAACTGTTCCAAATGTTCCGGTAGGCTTTTTCTATAATTATGATAAAGATGAAATTATTTGTATTGACACCGTAACAATATAATATTTTGTAAATATTGTTACATAATTATTTAACGCTGTGAAGTTTTTTTCGTCAGTTTTTCTTCAAAGTAAAAAAAATGTCCTTAACTGGTGGTAGTGAAAGAAATATGGACGCCAATTCCAAAGAGTTGTATTTTGCATCCAAATTGAATTAAGATATTTTGACTTTTGCCTTTTGGACCTCTCGAGTCGGCGACACCATGAAACCCGGCGTACAAACCGGCCACGGAAGTCGTCCAAACGATAAAACAGTATATTTATTTTTTAGGCAGATAGATCTAATTCGTATTTCAATGTTTGTCAAATTAGTTAAAACCTCCTTGAATATACTTGCACAGGACACAGGTGTAAATAAAAGAAAGAAATCCACTCAAACACATATATTTTGTTTGATTTTTTGTCTTTTTGGTGCTCCATTTTTTTACTCGTAGTGTTTTTCTTTTAAATTATAAATAATACTAGTAGTTAGGGTGTCGCTTAACCAGCGCGGTCTCCTTAAATGGGCAATCGGGAGAGCCGAGCAGATTACGAGGCCCAGGCAATGAACTCGGCAATAAATAATACAATAAGGTACAAAAAGATATTCAACGAAGTACCATCCGATGGTCTCACACTCGCAAACACGCTACACACACGCCAATAAGTCTTACACTTATAATATCACTAACTATACAGAATGCGGCTAGGCCGCGTGCACTGAACCATTGATGTGTATGTCAGGTAGGGTGATCATTCGAAATGCGTGCCCTTGAGCTTCTTTACGGCATTAGTGAGATGTAGCATCTCCGTGTTGAGCTGCCAGATCAGGGTCTCCAGTTTGTCGACTGTGTCCAGCACTTCGACGCGCTCGGTGTGGGGGTTGAAGCGCACCTCGAAGGGTCGCGACATGGCGGACACCCAGCGTCTGGAAGAGAAATCACATTTTCAAACTCTCATTCATGCCAATCTAAAACCAACAACACCACATGTTGAGTATTTCATTGTAATTCACCTGAATTTGTCTTTGGCATCTTCGAAGCTTTCAGCCACGTAGTATATGGGTTGGTACTCCTGGTCTTGGTAAGGCTGCACAGAAGTGGATGCAGGTTCGAAGGGTCTGAGTTCGGGCTTGTCGCTCAACGCATGCAGCAGCTCACCAATCGAAGACAAGAGAGCAGCACCATAAGCTTTCAGCTGGTGGTTCTCTTTGCAAAGTCCAAACTCCACGGTGAACCAATACACCTGAACAATGAAAAGCTTTACTCGATATTGTTCATACCGCCAAAAGGCTGTACTTAATACTATAATACAAATTTCGCATCAGCTGGGCCCAATTCTTCAATTAAATTTGCAGTCGCTTTAGCCTTAAGTTATAAAGAAGTGAAAATATGTCAAATATATTAAAATGAACTTAGTTGATTTACAACTTACTGTGGATAGCTTTTCGATTTCGGAGTCTGAAGCGCCAAGGGACGCGAGACCAATTTCTTGAGAGAACTGAGCAAAGCTGGGGTCAGCTAACAAAGGAATGTGACCCAGTAGCTCATGGATGCAATCGCTGTAAAAGAAAAAAGTTATTAAAAACACTTTAGTCTGGCCCAGCAAAGTATCATCATCGGAAAATAAAGTGGAATTTAGTCTAGTGCAAAAGGGTGTAACAAAATAAAAAACTTCCTTTGATCCAGATATCGGTGGCAAAACGGGTTAGGTAGTAATTGAATTTAGCGAAGCCACCGATGCAACATGGTAATAAAGTTAAAACTTCATCTCAGAAACGCTCGTCGCTTCACGCTCGTTAAATCCATGTGAAACTATGATATTTACATATTATATCATATTGACAATCGTATGAGGAGGAAGGAACTCACAGTGAATTATTATATAATTAGATGGATATTTAACGTGATTCGGCCCAATTTACATAATAGTCAAGTTCACGTTTTACGTACCTAATATTTTTGTAACAAAATTTCAAGGTGTTATTAAATAATTTACAATTCTATGATCTGTTTAATTATCCACATTGAATGTGTGGCGTTTATATTTTTGTCATGTGCACGTCTCGTTTGACCAGTTTAATTAACGATTTCCGTGTATGTTAATTACCAATAATAATGAGTTTCTATAATGTGTGGGAGTATTAGTATCAATTAAAAGCGATTTGTGTGGTTAAATTAAAATATTGCTTGATTGGGTACTTACGGTTCGGGGGTATGGAAAGGTGAGTTGGCGTGGCGCACGTATTGCGTTGATTGGAATACGCGGAACGCCAAAGAAGCCAGGAAGTCCCGGGCGGTGAGAAGACCTGCAGCGGGGCGTAGCGTGAAGCCGGTGTGTTTGCGCAGGAAGTTGCTCACGTCCTCCAACTGAGGGATGCGATGTGGAACGAAAATATCAGCCTCTTGGAGCTTAGTAAAAGCTGCCTTGTATTCCCGACAAGCGTGTTTGGGCATCAAGTCCAGCACGGTGTTGAACACTCGCTGCCATGTTGCGTTCTCGGTCTCCTTGTAGCTGATAGAAGGGATCGGGTCGCCATATTTGTATGCAAAAGCGATCTCGGCGATCTGTTTTCTACGCTCCCTGTATTCCTTATCGGCGAAGCCTGGATGGTTCATGTCCAACTCTGGCTCGAATTTGGTCATCAGGTGGTTGCAATTGTCGAGATCGGATGCGTGACGCGGGAACCACGGAGTTTTGCTGGATATGTTCTCAGTCATGAGATTCACTCCAGCGAAAGCGGTGGATTGACGTAGAGATCTGATTAGCTGCAGTAGATTATTACGAGACATGCTCACTTTCACGAGAGCATCGAATTGTACATCGGTGACTTGAGATGGACGAGTTTCGAGGTGTTGAACACAGCCTTTATAGTTATCGACGGTCTTAAGGACACGGGCTAAGGAACCCATTCCATCGCGCATACGCAACAGCAGAGCGGCCTGCTGGATAGCTTGCTCGGCTTCGGGGGATTCGCTAGCTGCATTCTGCAGTATTATTTCCTCCTCAGTCAAAGTATAATCTAAAAAGAAAAAAACACAACGTTGATTGATAGTACTCTATAATCAGGTGTAACGTTTGAATTCAGTTAGTTAATCATGTGATTTTAATTAATAAATTGTTTAAACTTTACTGACCCTCATCGGTCTTGGAAGCATCGTCACCTATGTCAGCATCAGCTATAAAACAAATGAAACAAAAAACAAAATAAATAAAGTGCAAAATTAGTAACACAAAAGCAAACAAAGAAACAAACGAAAAACAATGGAACGTTCAAGAAATCAAAAAAGAATAAAAATTACCAAGTTGCCCGTTCTTAGTTTCGTCTTGTTGGGTACCATCTTCAACAGTTGGTGAGTTATCGCCGTTTCCAATAGGTACTCCATCTTGGATGAATTCGGAGTCCAAGCCAGAGTCTAATTAATCCAAAAAGAAACGAAAAAATAAATAAAAAGGAAAAAAAAACAAAATAAAAAAAGTAAATAATTCGTGCTGTGGATTCTAAGTTGTTTGTTGATGATTGAAGTTGACTCAATTCGTTGTTTCTTGAGAACATTACTTACCATTGGCGCGGGCACGAGCCTCTTCTAGTACACTTTGTTTGGTCTGTTTGACAACGAGTGTTTCAAAGCGAGCATCATCGACCAGAGAACGACGCCTGGACGGGTAGCCGTTCTGAAACAAACAAAAAAATACATATAAACATGATAAGTTCCAAAGTTCTGTAATGTTATTACTTATATGGTGACAATGTCAAAATACTAATTGACTGAACAATATTATGTAATGTTGATTATCTCATTGAAGATAATCAAATAATTATGTTTAACGGACAGCTGCATGTTCGTCTGACAATATTAACTCTGGTTACATTTATTTTTTATTGCGAATCAATTACAGTCAAGCAAGCGTCACGGCGACCTAGACACAGATTCTGCAGCTATTAAGACTATAACAACTACTCGTGCGGACACAAAGGGAGCGCTAAAAATAGAAGGATCTCCTAAATCCTTATAAATATAAAGCGGTCACATCGCATTATATTTCATGTGCGAGCAGGAATTGCTTTTACGAAGTTCCTAAGCTTATTTCCTGAGTGTGGCACCGTAAAGTGGTCCCATTACTCCCGCCCGCTCGCCCCGCCGGAAGCTCCATCTTGCTTGGGAAATCGCACAAAGGAATGCCGGTTTCTGGACCGCTGCACTCCAATAGATTCAATCGCTCTCAAGTCTGAACTTCTAGACGCCTCGTAGACAACTTGTTCGACTCGTTTAAATCTTTCGTTAACCATAAAATACCAACTCGAGAATACAATTGCCGAGTCATAAAAATTCCCTTTTAACAGTATAATACGTTTTTAACAATGTCATCAAATGCGTATATCCTTAATGCATACGGTGATAAGCATTTATTGAGGGCCGTATCGAATGCGCAGCGACCACCGTCAAGTACTGCGGCCGGTGACGCGTACTCTGTCAGTTGCGCGGGCGTTGAGACCTAGCATTTTCCACTAGAATGCCTGCAACAGCTTATCTTTGTGTGTCAAGGGTTGCGTTAATCACTCACTATTATAAGTGAGCCCCTAAAACTCAGCCTCACAGTGCATAATTGCGCCTGAAAATCTGCGCTTTATTCGCGTGCAAAATTAATAACGCGACCGTCAACTGAATTGCGGAAACGTTGCCGCATTGTGAAGTTAAAGGTCCACCTAACTGGAGCGGGTAGGACTCGGAATCCGGTTGATATAGCCTTGGTCTGTGCGAGTGGCCACTCCACCGTTCCAATCGGCCCGCGGATAATTAAACGCCGCCGGAGAGCGCCGCCGCCGCCGCTGACCTACGTCCACCTTACACCTATTATCTAAACCGACCGACCAATTCGTCACCTCTACCTTCTGACAGATTTTTTCGGCATTATGGTAAAACACTCGAGATACGCTGTAATAAACATCGTTAGTTTTTTTGTTACTTATAATTTTCAAATATTAACGTGGATCGGTGTTAGTTGACCGTGGCGAAAATCTGTGTTTTGGTCAAGGGCGAAACGGAACCTCGATTTTTGTTATGAACAAATCCATTAGCGAGTCCTTTGTTTTTTGCCTGTAAATTATTGATTGAGAACTATTCAAGTTATAGCAAGATCTATTACGCATTTTAAAGATGCACATGATGATTCATTGGCTTATTTTTGTGTATTATCAGAGTAAGACATTTTTACATAATGGAATTTATAGTTTCTTTCTTTTTGTAGTTCATTGGTAAGCGTCACGTTTGTTTGGTTTTCGACCTTCGACGGTCAAGGAAATACAATCGTGTAGACGCCAATTATAAAATATACGCTAATTATAACACGTTAGTTACAAACCGGGTTATCGCACAGCAGTAAAACGCTTAATAAGAATAAACAAATAAACAAAAAGTAACAAATAAACAAAAAGCATAGCACCTGAGAGTCTAACTACGCGTATAACAAAACTTTAGTATAATAATGATGATGATGATGATGATATACTAATGAATGCAAAAATGGTTTTGCATTAACTAAACACACGATTATGTATATTAAAATTTCTAAGTTAATTCGCCACAATCGCATCTGCTCATTAGTTTACGAGAACATTGCCATGGAAATGAGATTGCTGTAATAGTTTGCAATAACAAAGTGTGCAATTTACGCGATGTAACAATGATAAGTCGGCACCTTGGGTATTGACAATGCTAATTGATCCCGACAATACAATGATGAGACTATTAAATAATCAATGGAATATTTTTATGGGACGATTGAACTATTTCATAGATCGCACATTTTAACTCTCCGGCGTTTGTTTTGTGCTCAAGTGGGTTCATATCTTTTTAACAATGAGTTTGTGTCTTCGTATGGTTACGTATTCGTTACGCAATTTGTATCACATGAAAAAATAATAATAAAAATGTGATGATATCTCTGTGAAAGTGCACGGTGTTAATTGTGAATTAATTACGCTCCGGATAATGACATTACGACCCCACCTCATGTGCCGACCGTAATGGCGTCGAACCAGAATGCTTTTGGACAATTAACCGAAGTATTTACAAGTGAAAACATTTTTGAGGTGTTTTTATTTCTCGCTTAATGTCACCGGGTTTACAATTCGTGTTCGCACTTTCACACGAGATCTTTTAAGACGCGCGTTATTGCGCGATTAATGCTTTTCAATTGCGACCAAAGTGATTACCAATGGACCGTTTAAAATTGCCGCCTGCTAATTTGTTGATAATTGTGTTAAAAGCTTCTGTGATACTAACAACGTCTATTGTTGTTTATTCGTACAAGGCCGAGAGGTGATTTGACAAGCAACAAGTTGCGATTAGTGGATAGGATGCGCGTAATGTAGAGGTCGCGTCGCTAATACTGTTGTTGTTACGAAATAATCGTTAATTATAATTTATCAATACTTTTTATCGATATCTAGGTATTTAAACTGATTTCAATTTAGATTCGCAATAATAAAAATACCTGTAATTGAAAATTTAAATAAAGTAAGTTGAGAGTGTAATTAGACTGCCAGTAATTAGATACTTTTTTTGGTGCTAGATAAACAAAGTATTCCAAATAGTTTGAATTAGATATCGTGGACGAACTGCAGTTTGAACTTTAGAAGTCGCAACTTTTTGATTGCTACTTCATAAACAGCTTTTATGGACGGTCACAAGAAAGCTCTTCTTTATTTACAATTACCAATGGTTAGATAATATTTAACTTTGCCTCAAACAATCGTCGCACTTTTGAACACATTATGAACCATCCACAAAAACTTTCGAAAAGCTCCCGGATCGTGGAGCGGAACCTGGAAGGCACGGAGTTAAGGAAGCTGTTCCTCACCTCGATGCTGTAGGACTTCTTGATGGCGAACATCTCGCGGTTCTTCTGAGCTGCTGCGACGGCCATTTCTTCGAGCTTTGAACACTCCACTGGGTATCGCCTAAACTGAAGTTCACTGCGCGCTTAGCTAGCGTAAGTCTGCGAGGGCTTTGTGTCACGACCACGGGCTGAAGCCTGTCTGTCTGCGACTGCAGCTGTCGGACTACTAAGGCTAACTAAACTTTGGATTGCAAACAGACCAATGCATGATGACCGTTCGTAAGAACAGTTTAAATAGTGTTAGGCGCACGCCTCCCACCCCGCAGCGCCTTTCGTCGCGCATGCGTCACAGCCGCTCCCCGCGCGCCGCTCGCGTCTCCCTGAGGGTCCTTACGTCAGCCCTTATGGACTCACCGAGCCTACTCCATACCATAGCATATCATTAATTGGTGCATTCATATAAATATACATATATACATATGAGTTTCACATAAGCTGAAAAAAAAGAAAAATCGTCCAAACTAAAAACGAAGACTACCTTTTTGCAAATTCGAAACTCAACTTTTCTATGGTTTTTCCCATTTTCATCTAACGGAAAATCGTTTCTGATTCATTAATTAAAAGTTAGCAAAGTTAGTATGGGTATCTACACAGTTGTGGTTTTTAGATGACAAATTCATTAGGCCAAATGAGTATTAATTAACATGGGAATTGGGGAATACTTCATTTTTAATGTTTTTCTTGTTTACAGAAACTTTAGTATACTTCCGTACAATAAACGAGTTTGTTGAACGAGTTTAACTTTGGGGATTTATTGCAAACGATTGTTAAGCTTCCGTACCTATAGGGTTAAAATGGAACCGTATTGCTGTTACTCTGTCGTCTCTTTGTCTGTCCGTACGTCACAGGTATCTAGATCGTACACAAAATGAGTCATAGAACTGAAAGTTTTAGATTTTTTTATGTATTGCTTGTCCAAAGTCGAATATTTAAAGTAACATCAAAGTTGTAATTTTTAAACCATTTTAGTACGTTAAATTTCGGTATATGATGTCTGATGTGTTGTTATTAAATAACAAATACAGAAAACGCCGATTCATGGCGTACTTTGTGAGTTGTGACGAAAACAAAAAAAATGATATTTCCTTTCGCGGTTTATTGTGATCTCCCATACAACAGACGTAATATTTTAGGTTTTTTCTCTCTATATTATTAGTGCCTAACGGTGTATAGATAATGGATGAATGGATACGGAGCATTTCCGACTCACACTTGGCCGGTTTTTTTCTAGCTAACAAAACTATTTTTCTTGATATTCAATAGTTTCTGTGTAAAAGTATTGAATAAAATATACATACATAAGTAAGGCTATTTTAACTGAAAGAACTTCATTCAAATTGTAGGATCTTCAAATCGTAGTAACATGGAGTTGAACAAGGGTTAAAGAACTAATTTACACGTTCCATAGTCTATACGTTATAAGGAGTACAGTAATTCTCGTTCTTCAGTTTTTTCGTTATTAATCCCTAATACTAAATTTATTATATGAATAGGACATTCTCCAAAACGCCAAGTACACTGAAATTCAACATAAAGATACTATACACCAATTATGTGCACGTATATATGCCTCGGACACAACATAAATGAAATCAGATCAAAGTAATACACTTCCTATAGTTAACAATACCTTTCCGTGCAGGTTTTTAAGCCGGTAAGATTATTGTGGTATCGCTTTACGGATCCTTGATACGACCTCACACAGGAAATGAATTATTTTAACCAATATAGATGCAGGATATGAAATATATACTATGTTGCCAGTAATATATCGATATAGGTAAACTTGTAAATCAGTTTGGCGGTAAACATTGTGATCGGGTTGCGATGTAAGTACACACCGGTAATATGTCTGGTTCGATGAAGAAAATATAGAGCATTTTGGCTTTGTCCGCTCGCAAGACTACCTTCGCATTTTTAAGTATAAAATTAAACGCTATGGTGAAACTTAACTTTATTCGTTTCATATACGAAAATTACTTATCTCGTTATCAGATAATTATATTGCCGTATGTATATAGCATATACCAGGTGGCATATTAAATTATCTACTATCAGAAACCATGCTAATTTTAGAATAATGAAGTTATGCATAAAAATACTTTTCTTTGCTTTTTTATTGTTGTAAGCATATTTCAAACAGCATGGCTATTACAAAACAACGGTTATAAATGTTTTCTGTCACCGAGTGAATTTATTTAGAAAAAAATGAACATAATTTACAACATTGTCATTTTAATCTTGAACAAGGTTATCTTTTTCTTGCGTTGATATTTATTCAGAAAAAAACGGGAAAACTGCTAATTACAGTATCTAAAGTCTTAATTACTGGAAACTGTTTATAGTTTCCGAGAAGCTTGTTTTATTTTGTGTACTATCTAAAACCCATAATTTATTTTATGTTGTCAGAGGATTTATTATTTTCTAGTGATTTAGTCATAAACGTTGGACGTTACGGGACTTTTTAAGGTCGAGGAAAATATTGAGTCGGCTCATTTTTTTTTAAAGTTCCAGGTACATCTTCCTCCTTCGTCAAGTGATCCTACAAATACAATTAATGTGAAACTTTGTCTGTTTGTGTGTTTCTTTGTTTGCATAAGCAATCACGCAATAATTAGGGAATAGTTTTGGATGAACTTTGGTATACACATAGTACCTGGATAGGTTACGGTGGGATTTAAAAAAAAAACTAAAGTTAATGTGAGTGACCAATAGTATTAACATAAACCGCCTTATTACAAAACGTAGACTAAAGTTAAACCTGGACTAAAACAGTTGCTGTTACTTATGCTTGCTATTAAGAAGACAGATACAACATTAGGTTTAAACCAAGACTAACTTTAGTCCGGGTTTTGGAATAAGGCAGAAAGATACTTTAAGACTTGAAGTCTCTTCAAGGACATAAATAAAATTCTACCTATTCAATGTTTTATTGCTTATCCGAAATGTCATCTGTATTTTTTTCTTAACGTTTGTATCTGTACTGATCGTGAGATAAAGCCATGTATAAAAATACAAAAAGCTTTTCCCTACATTCACTTTGTTGACCAGTGGACTTCTTCAAAACCCCTCAATAGTTAACCTACTACAGTTCGTTTTTCGGGTAATACATACTAGGCACTGTTCTGCGTTTCTCTAATAAGTAGGCGATGAACAATATCTCTCTTTCTTGAGGAGCTCGACGTCGCAAGTGGTCAGCGCGTTCGGCTGCGATCGTTGAAGTTAAGCAACTTTCGCTGTGGTCATTTGATAGGTGACCATTTACTATCTCGAGCTCCTCCGTGCTTCGGAAGCCGTTGGTCCCGGCTGCATTAGCAGTCGTCAGCACCCAGCAGTGGGGACATTAATAGGCTGACGATGATGATGATGAAAATCTCTCTTTCAGGTGGACAACCCATGGATCACTAAGTAGCTTTGTCACCAATTATGGCTTAATTTCATGTTGTCGCATAGGAAAATAAGAATTTCGACTTTGATAGAACATGTTTATCTCTATTGTAATTTTTATATGCGAGTGAGGTAAAATTTTCTTTACGCACTTTTATTTTAGTATCTTTACATATCGGTAAAGGCCTAAGTATTTTTAAATAATTATTGCAATATAAATACTGTAGAAATATTCTGTATAAACTTTTCACCTCGGAATCCGCGGTGTGATTAAAAATTCGAACAGGAATTATAAATTACACCGGCGAATTCCGCTGTGTGTGAGAAGTGCTATTCTGTAAGAAAAAACTCACTTTAATAGTTCTTTAATAGTGAGTTTTTTCTTACAGAATAGCACTTCTCCTTTTCCATATTCACTTCATGCAAAAATCTCATTCTATATATTTTTAAAAGTGGGTACTAAGATTTTCCTTCATTTACTTATTATTATTACTTTAACTTTTAAGGAATATGAAGTCTTTTACATAATGTGGCATCGTTATTTAGATCACGGCGACGGCTTTCAGATGAACCGTTTATTTGTCATGGCTGTAATAGTTTATTTCTCCTTGATGGTGGACCGTTAATTAAACGTTGCTATTGCGCATCTATTGTATGAATTTTTATGTTCGCTAATATAAGTGCATAACGTTTTTCTCTGATAAAAAATACCTATAATATTTTGAATGCAATCATTGAAGAAAATCAACACGAATGCATTCAGTTAAAAGTTATTTTTATACGCCATTGAAGTACTTTATTGCATTTTCAATTACTTTATAAATCTGTTTTTATCATAAAAAGTTTTTTTTTGTACTTAGTTGTAAATTCCTTAATTAAATTTCATATAACGGTAACGTTCATCTAATGTTAGGGGATTAGTGAACTTACAAAATATAAAATAAATATTCAGTCGAGCCTCTTTATTTGAGACGAGAAACTATAATAAATACGTGCCACAACGTGGTTTAACAAAGTTGGTTTAAAAAGATAAAGGCAAGAATTACGGTAGGATCACTAAAAATACATCTAAACTGAGACGCAAAGACATGCGCAGGACATTTCTACTTAAAGTTTTGAAAACTTTGGTAAGCCTATGGCTACTAAACTTAAAACCTAGTTAGGAATTATGTAAGTAGTTATACGGCCCCAAGAACAAACAAAATTTCCAGGAAAAAGTGATGGTAAATTTAAGGAGGGACAGATTTGATGGTGGTATTGGCTAGTGCGTTCAGTTTGGGATTGTGGCAGTCAAGCGACTAATGCAATGGCCTGTCATTAAATGGGTGCCTAAAATTAACCATATCGAAGTCTTCCTTGTTTTGTTACCACTCAGCAATCAGGCCGATTTAGTCATCTTTAGGGGTAGCTTATGTCTTAGCAATGGCGATATTAATCGGTTACAGTTTTCATTACATAAGTAGTATGGTCATAAATGGGTGATAGTGTATCAAGGGACACAGTGTAACATTAGGAATATCTCTGCCCTTTTATTATTTATCTATGGTATGTCTTAAAGTGGTTATATTAGTTTCAAAGTTGACATTTTTAGCAGTTGGCACGTCTTAGAGTACCCCGACGAAAAAATTACCCGCGCTAACGCGCCTCCGACTCCTCCCACACAGGCCACAAACACCAAAACTACACAGCTAGCATACTTGCACACTAGCTTAGCATTATGCAGACACCGCACCCGTAGGAAAGAATGCGAAGACCTGGTCTACACACGACACGCTATACCTGGTACAGGTACGTACCTGGGCGTTTTTCCCCCGCCCCCAC